ACTGATCTGACGGGCCTTAACTGAGTCAGAAAAGCGGACCTATCTGAAGGCGGGCTTGTCTGACGGGAGGAATTATCTGTGAAATTTTAGGGTACTTTTGATCGAATGATCTCGTGCCAGTCATTACTCCGTTAAAGTGCCGGAAATACTCAACACCTGCTTTTACCGTAGCTAAATCATTGAATATGATCCTAAAAAGTTTCCAGAATTCCCTCAGAAGAGGGTTGCAAGTTAGGAAAGCACTTTTGGAATTAACGTTCTATGCTCTATAACAAAGTATACATTTCATATGGAAACGCCACTTCTACCAAGTATCCATCCCTTGTAAGCGATAATGGTGCAAAATTCCGTATTCCATCTGACTGTGTATGAAATTAGAGCCCAAATTACTATAAATTAAGGAATTTAGACGCGAGGAATAAAGCTCGGAAGTTGTATAGCAGAGTTTTCACAGATGCTGATAGGAACTTCTGACAAGTTTTCACAGTTCTTGAATAGTGTGGTCACATTTTTGAAAAGGATTGGAAAGACAACTATTACGGTATACCTCACATAACTTATCACCGTGAATCGCGAATTCCATATATGATATTAGCGACTCTGATTAGCTTAGACTAACAACTTTTGGGTTATATGATTGGAAAGACAACTATTACGGTATACCTCACATAACTTATCACCGTGAATCGCGAATTCCATATATGATATTAGCGACTCTGATTAGCTTAGACTAACAACTTTTGGCTTGTTATATATCTTTCTAAAGCAAATGTAGCACCTAATAGCTAAAGCTCTCTTTAATTCTCCTAACGTAATTTTGCGGTAAAGAAGAAGGCATAGGCGATTCATAACACGCAAAGATCGAGCGCGCTGCGTCCGATCAAGACAGCTCGTGCGGAATGGAAGAGACGGCGAATGGTAAAAGAAACGAAAGAGCGCTTGATCAGAGAGACACCCATACGTCCGCAGTTTTTGCGTGCTACGAATCGCCTACATCTGCTCCATTGGTGAGTCTAATTTGTAGCCAGGTTTTCAATATGATGAAAAACGGCAAAACACTCTGCGGAGAGAGAATGCCAAAGAAAAACTCTATACTAACCTTGTGGGACAATCTGTGTTTAGTTTGTCTAAATTTCATTGTTCAAAGTATGTGGTGAAAGCCGGTGCAGACAATTCCGAGGTTTTCAGGGAAAATATCTTCAAATAGATAGAAAGCTAAAACAGCGGTAAAACAAAGCGTCTTACTATTCGTTGAAGAACATCTATGCTTTGAGGCATTTGATCACGAGCAAGCTTTGTCTCTTTAGTTTTTGCCCAAGTCAAAAGACAACATGTATATGGAAGGATAAAATCTTGAGATTCTACTCCTATACTTGCATCCCTCATCTCAAACCAGAATTTCCAGCATTGGAGAAATTCCTGAGCGAACAGAATGTCATATAAATCCCAGGTCCAGCCATCGATGAATCTTGGCATGGCTGTGTAATATTGTATCAGCTGATGTAGGTAGGCCAAGATTGACCGTGGCCGTGATATGTCATACGGTAGACCAGGAGATTGCATGAAGGCGGGCGTAGGTCTATTTGATCACATGTCATTTTTGTGGTGAAGAGTATAAGGAACAGGTCGAACTCTGTGCATCCGTATCAAGGAGCACTTGGAAGGACTCGCAAAAGGTAGATAGTAACCCTCCTGAGTGCTCACAGCAGGCTCTGTCATGAAAATACCACATTTATACGGCGATCACCATCTTATCGCACGAGCCCTAAACTACAGCACGCAAGACATTTGAGGGCGTTGTGGATCTGCTCTCGAAATCCAAAAATGAATAGAAAAGAAGAATGCATTGCCATCACAAACGAGTTGGCACCCTTCCGGACGACCTTTTGTGGATTTTAGTCTACGGGTCGGGGTCGGGTTAAGCGCGGGGGAGTGATTAACATATCGGTAACTCATCAGTAGCGGCGCAGCTTTGCTCGGTGGTCGCTTCTTCCTTCTTCTCATCCACAAGGCAATAAGGTGATCGCTAAGCTATTAGCGTTTTCTCATATGTTTTGGCTCTGTTGACTGTTGAGTTGTACCGATGTGGTGAAAACGAAGCATTAGGAAAAACGTACGTGAGCCAATAAATTTATCTACCAATCTTGGCCTACGTTACATCAGCTGATACAAGAAAGTCATATGCCGAATAAAAAAGGAAGAGAATTTTCAAATGACATTAGGTCTAGTCATTGTTCTCATCTAACGAGAAACTCTCAACTTTTGTGCCGATATTATCTGTAAAACATAGTAGTTGTCCATCCCATACGGTATAGTCGAAAACGAGAAATTTTTGTTACCATTATATAAAAGTCTGGCGGTTGAATCATTTACGTTTTCGAATCTTTAATGGTCTCGAGTTTATGCAGAGACCAATCTTAGATTTTCACTGAATTACAGAGGTCTAATTGTCTCATCCATGGGTTTTATCAAATTGAAGTATAACATCGAAATGAATAAGTTGTTAAAGTTCGGTGAAATAACTATACAACAGATCGTTAGCTTCACATTATAGATCCTAGCAGTCCGCTAACATGGTGTACATTTCACATGCCTTTCACATTTGCCTAAAGTATTCATGCAAATCGTCAGATGCAAAGACCGAATGATTGCTCAGAGACTCAACCAGCAGATATGGGACCGGGAAGACAGGCATGGAGAGGATCAAGAGGACCTGGAGGACCAAGAATGGGGCTAGAATGAGGCTGGGAAGTAGGAATGGAATGAGAGCTCAAGACGGGAACGGGTGGTTCAAAAATGGGTCCAGGGCCGTCGGAATGAGTGGACCGGAAGCAGGAGCTAATTAAGCACTCATATTGGTATTCTATACAAGACTTCGGTGGAATAAGAATTCGGGTGTAAATCAACCTTCTATCTTGAATTGTTGCAGTCAGCGTATTGAAGGCTCTTTTATGCATAAGCGCAAGTGAAACACTCTCATAGAGTTTCGATAGGTATGAAGTTGACGTCTTACTTCCTTCCTTCTTATCCCGATATGTGAAATTAACGAGTTTTTGAGTTGCGACTGAAAAGTTGTAGTGCAGATTCTGCATGCTCCATTGGGTATGACTGTAAAGAAAGTGTTAGGAAAATCCTAAGCTTGTGAAGAATAAGACGGAATTTTTTTTGTTTGCGCATGGGCTACGTTGGGCAACTTCGGCCATTAGAAGCGTGCACATAAATTTCCTAATTTTTGAGATTTTATTGAATTAAGCAGGAAGCAAGCGTTGTTCTGGGATATTTAGTGAGGAATATCCCATTAGAGGACTTTACCTTCAGCAAAAGTGACATCGTGATACTTCACCGAGCTATCTTTTTGATCTTCTACTAAATTACCTTACATGGTTTTGATAAAAATGGAATGCAAGAAGAGTTGTGTACGGGCATATGTCACGTACGCACTAGTGGAGCGAGGGGAGCGTGAGTGGGCGGGAGGGACGGGAGTGGATAGCTAAAATCTTGAAAAGTCACATGAGTCCTAAAAGTGCGCAAGCGACTTTTTTTTTACTTGTGAATAGTCGAACAATTTCTAATATAAATTCAATTAGTTTAGCAAAAGAAACTTCGGGATTTGGCTGCCGCCGGGTTCTCTTTTTTGAAAACCAATGCAGTTGTAGATCTCTAAAAAGGTGGAAAGCGTCCCATCATTTTTTCGATAAGCGTGGCTTACACTACTACCCTTCATTCGAAGACATCCTTTTGCCTCCTTCCCCGAAAAAAATTTCTCAAAGCGCCGCTGTTACGGCATAAGCTTTTATGAAGGCACAGTCTGTTTACTCTTGATTTAAACTCTGAAAAATAGAGCGTAAACAGCATACCGCCTTCGGACTTCACCTTCGCGGATAACTGCTACAGATGTTCATAGTGGGTATGCGTGATCTTTTCAGATATCCGTATTTCGCGCATAAGGAAATAATTGCGCATAACTGGATACTGACACAACACAATATTTTAACATGTGTGCCATTCAGAGTTCTTTGCTTGGATTATCAATAGTGAAACACACAGCAAAAACCAAAATTTCGAAAAGGATTTCTTAGCTATCATATGTGCCAGTAAGTACCGTATAAAATCAAAGCAAAGTCCAATTGATAACAGTCATGGTCTTCGAGGAAAACATTTCGATGTCGCAAATATGGCTGTGCTTGGAGCAACTAGAGTGGGAGGAGGAACGACTGTTGGTTTTTTTTGCAGGGGAAAAAGAAAGCGAAAAGTTCGAAAAGTGTGGATAGCGCATACACAGGCACAATAGGTAAAAAAAATCGTCACTTTGTTTCACCAGATGTTATTTAATGTATCTTTTGCTGCGAGCTTTTTCACCTATGCAATTATACTCTGAACTTTCAGCTAGAACGGAATAAAACCCAGGAATTTCTTCTGCGATCAAAGCAGGACTTTAGTATGGCATAAAAGTGAGGATTTCTGGAAATAATCGACTCAACCTGCAGTTAGAAAACATGACAAAATTCAAAGAATAGTTTATTTTTATACTATATTGAACGATTCTTACACGATCAAGTCGGTCCTACTTCTAGCGCAACACAAGAATCAAGAGTGCAGTTTACATTATAGTTATGTGATGTCCTAAATAGCTAAGTGATCAAAAAATCAAAAAATTACTTCCGCAGGCTTATTTACACCCAGGGATTACTTTTCAATTGCGATGTTTGTCATCCGTGTAATATCCGCTACGGTGGGATTAATCATTCGTTTCGTAAACAGTCTAGACTATAACTTCGTTTTTAATCACTGATGCGTGATCTTTGAGATATAGCAGGTGGACTGAGTTAATCTCGCTAATGAGCTACTCACTATTGGGAACAAAACCGGTAAGATATCAATTCGTAGACGTAGTAAACAACAACAACATGGTGGCAAATAGTATAAGTACCTCCACTTCGCATCTAGGTGAGCCACTGTCAACTCGACTGATTCACTGAAAACCTAGTGCCTCTATCGCAATGATTCCACAAATTCTTGCCCTGCTTCTCGTAGCCACCGCAATTAGTGCTAAACCTATGGTTTGTACCTCCTACATTCATTACCGTAATCTACAGTAATCTACAGTAAATGAATGCATTCTTTTTTAGCCAGAAGACAAACCGGACGGAACCCCAATGCCTCCTCTTGGTGGCCCAAAACCACTCGGTGGACCAATGAACAGCTCCCCCGGAGGACCTCCACCTATTGGTTCTAATCCTGGACTCCCGCCAATTGGACAGTCCCCGCCACCCGGTGCACCAGGAGCACCCGGAATGCCCGGAGCTCCCGGAGCTCCACCAACTCCACCATCACCTCTAGGAGCACAACCCGGACTGCCTGGAGCTCCACCTCCACCAGGACTGCCTGGAGCAAACACTCCACCAACTGGACTTCCCGGAGTTCCCGGACTTCCTGGAGCGCCCGTAGTTACTAATGGTTAATCTTGTCAGAATTGCCAGAATTGTTTGATTTGTATGTTGAGATGAAGAATGTTCAAAATTGTTATTTATGTGTGCAGATGTATAAAAGTTACAAATACTTTCCTTATCGCATGAATATGTCCAATACCTACTGGCAGATTTTGCACCAATAGGCAATGGCGCAACTTCGGCGCAGTATTAGGAATCAAATTGACAAATTTACACTTTTCTTACAATTTGCGTACGTATTTTGCGTACGAGTCTTTTTTTTGAGCAAGCCAAAGCAAGCCGTGTTAGTAAAAAAGCCATGTCAAAGCTTTTGTCATCAGTAATCTTAATAGTTTGAAATTCAATTATTTTAGACCTACAGCAGTGATGGTCATTGTAAATTCAGCTGTGTCATAAGAGAAACGAATGAAAGAAAACTTAGACGCGGTAAAAAATCTGGAAATTATAGATTTCGATTTTCAGTAGATCGACAAATGGGCAAAACTTTCTTTTGACAGGGATGCTTCTTTTCAATAATGTGGTCCCTAAGAATGGAAGAAGCATTTTTCTCTCTTCTGGATAAAATTACTTAAGACTCAGACTTATTAGATTTGCAAGTTTATTAAATCAAAGATCCGATGTTGCTATAGCAAATCGTTTTCTCAATGACTTCCTCCACCGTTTTGCCCACTGTGTCCACTCGATCCGCTATATCCATTTTGTCCATGACCGCTTCCAGAGCCCGTTCCATATCCATTTTGTCCATGACCGCTTCCAGAGCTCTGCCCGTTTCCACCGTGACTTCCACCGTAATTTCCACCGTAACCGCCCTTAAAAAGTAAAATGATTCTCACTTTTGCTGATATATGCTCTCAAAGGATTGTCTACCCCATGCGCAGCAATCCCCGCTATCAGGACGATGAAGAGGAGGAATTTGAAGAGCTGGAAGTGGTCAGTTGAAAGGAGCATTTAAATCTGAAAACTCGAACCATATTCAAGATTTGGTTGAGTTAGGAAGGCAGAATAGATTATTCGATGTTACTTATATCTGGTGAAGGAATTTATATGCATCAAACTGATCGAGATCTCCATTTTTTAGACAAAGGTACATCTGTGTACATCTGCTTTTCATATCCATATTCGAAACAAAGCCGATGCAGATCTATGTTGGCTATGACAAGGCATTTTTTGCACACTGCATGGTCTACATCAAACTAAGAGTCCTGGTTGCAAGTGCAAAAAAATTTTGAGTCTCAGTCATGGCAGGTCCCGCGCTAAATTTCATAAACAAACAATTACTAGAAGAAACGCTGTTCAAACCCAACACTCGCAGACACAAATGCTTGGTGTATTCAATTTAGTGAGTCGAAAAAATGTGCTATCTTCTGTGTGCTAAAATTGAGTTCGCCACGACTTATAAGCAACTGGAGTATAGCCAAATTGCGTGCGACTGAAATCGCGCAAGGTATGCACGCAGCCTTGAAGGCAGCATCACCAATATTGCGCCTCCCATGTTTTTGTCATTCTGGGGCCTTTTCGTAGGCGTGATTACAGTTATAAAGCTCATTGTCCAAAACCCTCAAAAAACCCGATTCCTGGGGACTTTGGTTTGAGGGCGCGGACGAGTTTCGGATTGTCCACCCCTGCCAACGCGAGGAGGAGCTGCAACTGCATGGGTGCAATGATGCAAGGAAATTGGTGAGATATATTAGCACAAAGTTAGCCAATCGCATAAGCACAGCGATATTTGATTCTTTACCCTTTGTAGAACGGTAGGTTTTTCCTCGCTTTCCAACGGATAAAAACTGAAAATTAAAAGCGTCTTTCCTGCCATTCGCCAAAACGCCAGAAAAGGTGATTACTTTTGACTTTTACAAAAACCTCTCAAAAAGTTTCTATAACGCTGAGCTGGCACTACAACTTGACCTGCTACACAATGAGAGTGTTAGCAATTTTACTACATTTCAGAATGAATTATGTTCTCTTAAAAACCTTTATAAATGCAAAGCTTTTTAATGGCTGCGATTATACAGGGTATCCGTAAAGTATGTATGCACTGTTTGATCATTAATATCTCTTTTCCCAAGAAGTCTTTTGCCTTGCTTCAGGTACCATTTTGTAGAGCTGGCTTCAACTTAGATTTGCAGTATAGAACGAACACCCATCTCTTCATTACTATAGGATTACGGTAGAAACTTGAAACATATGGTGTCATGTGGAAAAAGCTGCCGTTTCAGAATATTTCAAAGAAAATGTGAAAACTTGTGTGATAGGGTTTTTATGGACGCTGAGTTTAATACTCAACTATTCACAAGATTGCGAAGCTTTTCAAACGTTGTAACCGCACTTTTTAGGAACATTGAAAAAATGGCCGCTGCCTCTTACCCGGCATAACTCTTCAATGAAGCATCATAATAAGTTGGAACTTTACAATTAAAATCAGCAACTCTGATTAGCCTAGTGTAAAAGTTTTCATACTGTTTTGTTTTCTTTCTGAGGCAAAACATGGCTTTTCATGGCTCAAAACCCTCTTTGAAGTTTCTACCGTAATCTTACAGTAATGAAGAAAGATGGGTGATTCGTTCTATAGTGCAAATCTAAGTTGAAGCCAGCTCTACAAAAAGGTACTTTAAGCAAGGCAAAGACTTCTTGGGAAGGGAGATATCAACGATCAAACAGTGCATACATACTTTTGGACCCTGTATAATGAAAGTCAGTTTTTCGTTGAGTTAGGCCATGGGCACACCTCAAGCGATTTCAATCGTTACATTATCTGGCGATTTGCCAGATGTATTCAAACCCAACACTAAACAAATGCTTGGTGTATTCAGCGTTTTTGAGGCGATAAATATGTTATCTTCTGTGTGCTCAAACTGAGTTTGCGACGAGTTAAAGGCAACTGGAGTACTGCCAAATCGCGCCGCGACTTCGCGTGAGGTGTGCCCGAAACCTTGAAAACAGCGTCCACCAAAATTTCACCTCCCATGTTTTTGAAATTCTGGGGCCTTTTCGTAGCCGTGATTACAGTTATAAAGCTCAAAATTCTCAAAACCTTCAAATAACCCAATTCCTGGGCACCTTGTTCTGAGAGCGCGGACGAGTTTCGGATTGTCCACCCCTCTTGCAAGCGCGTGGAGGAGCTGCAACTGCATGGGTGCAGTGATGCAAGGAAATTTGTGAGGTACACTAGCACAAAGTTTAGCCAATCGTATAAGCACAGCGATATCTGATTCTTTACCTTAGAACGGTGGGGTTTTTCTCACTTTCCAACGGAAAAAACTAAAAACCAAAAGCGCATTTCCTGCCACCCGCCAAACGGTAGGAAAGGAGATTGCTTTTGACTTTCTACAATAACCTCTCAAAAAGTTTCTTTAATTCTGAGCTGGCACTACTACTCGACCTGCTACATAATGAGAGTGTGGGCAATTCCACTACATTTCAAAAAAATTATGTCCTCTCAAAGTAAATCTTTATGCGAAGTTTTTTTGGTGGCTGCATATATTTGTTGTATAGCCAAAGATTGCATTTTGCAGTAGTCTATATCGCGCTCCAATGGCTGGAAGCTGAACAAACAGTGCTTTGATTTTGCTTTAACCCAGTTTGTGCATAGGAATCTTCTCAGCAAAACATTTGCGACAAAGTTTTTGCCCAGGAGTAAAGCAGCGGAGATAAGAGAGCTCAACAATCATACTAAGAAAGTGAGTAAAATGTTTCATATCTTCCATTAATACAAGACACCCTATGCTTAATCAATCGTAAACATAGTACATTGTCCTCGAATCTTTTTCTCGATGACAGACTGTAAACCAGTCTAGTAACTTTAGCTAAACTTTGACATGTATTGAATTATTACAGGCGAAAAATAAGGCACTTAAATTAAAAGGCATCGTCCACTTAAAATTCATGCACCTAGACTACTGGTCTTTAAGGGAAGTCTGCTGCGTGCGGTCCTCTAATATCACTCAGAAGGGAGTGTATAGGGTCAGGCGGCAATCCCAATTTCTTCTATGCTAAAAAACTTCCCGTACAAAACGTCTTCGACGGCAAAAACAGGGGATGGGGATCGGGGCCGGCACATAACTCACAACCACGTTTTTAGAAAAATGGCGCATGTTTGTTACGGGCTCTACGCTGCTCACGCTTGCACCTTTCGTCGTTTAAAGGTAGCGTTTCGGCAGAATTTCGTTTTCCGAATTTTCACCAAACCCATATCTTGGCTTTTAGCGCATGAAAATGGCGAAAATGAGCTTTTTGAAGCTTTCAAGTTTGCATTCATTGGAGAAGTGGGCGGAGCCTGGGACGAGGGAGGCGGAGCGCGGCTTTTTCCGGCGCATCTTTACTGAATGCGCACCTGGAATGCTTCGGAAAAAGCTCATTTTCGCCATTTTTATGCGATAAAAAGCCCAGATATGGAATTGTAAGGGCAAGGCTACGAAAAGGTGAAGAACGAATAACGAAATTTCGCTGCGACACTGCCTTTAACGGTTGCCCTCTTCCAAAAAGAGATGGATCCGTAATTCCGTCAATAATTCAATCTTATTTAGCCAGAAGCAAACAGACCGAACTGCAGTGCCTCCTCCTGGTGGTCCTAAACCAAATGGCGGACCAATGAACAATTTTCCAGGAGGAATTCTACCTATTGTTTGGCTCTCAAAACCCTGGACTTCAGCAGTGGGACAGTCCTCGCCACCGGAAGCACTCGGGACGCCCGGAGCACCCGGAGCTCCATCAACTCCATCATCATCTCTAGGAGCTCAATTTAGGGCCGCATGCACTAACCTCCCCGCGGGGAGGGGATCGCAGCTTAAACGAAAGCTTTATATTTCGAAACTGCAAATACCTGGATTTCACGTTGTGTACCTATCCATAAGTATTCCTACTACCCTTCACTATATGTTGAACAGGAGCGAGAAGCTGTACGAACCGCATTTCCCAGCTTTTGTATGATCCCTGATGATCCCCGGCGCTTTTCTTTAAAGTCATTTTTCTTTCTCCGAAGTTAACGAATAACTTCCAAAGTTGTGCAGATTATCTAACTCGACAGTGCTAAGCATGTTGCTGATGAGAACAAATGAGTTTTTGAAAAGTCGAATTTTTCGGTAAACCTCAAATTTCACCTGTGGATCATCGAAAATTTCATGACTTCAAAAATCATTTGTTCTTATCAGCAACATGCTTAGCACTGTCGAGTTAGATAATCTGCACAACTTTGGAAGTTATTCGTTAACTTCGGAGAAAGAAAAATGACTTTAAAGAAAAGCGCCGGGGATCATCAGGGATCATACAAAAGCTGGAAAATGCGGTTCGTACAGCTTCTCGCTCCTGTTCAACATATAGTGAAGGGTAGTAGGAATACTTATGGATAGGTACACAACGTGAAATCCAGGTATCTGGAGTTTCGAAATATAAAGCTTTCTTTTAAGCTGCGATCCCTTCCCCGCGGGGAGGTTAGTGCATGCGGCCCTTAAACTGCTTGGAGCTCCACCAAAACTGCCTGGAGCAACCACTGCACCAGCTGGACTTCCCGGAGTTCCTCTTTCTGGAACGCCTTTAGTCACTAATGGTCAATTGCCAGAGTTAACAAAATGTTTGATTTGTATGTTGAGATAAAGAATGTTCAGAGTTGTTATTTATGTGTGCAAATGTATAAAAGTTACTAATGCATTTTCTTTTTTACATAAACATTCCCATCACCTAGTAGAAAGTTTAGCGCCAATTGATAGTGCGGCAACTTTGGTGCAGTTTCAGGAATCACACTGGCATAGTTGAATATCAAATTTGGCCAAAGTGCACTGGTCTTTTCAGCCAAACCAGAGCCCCTCTTGTTTGTAAAAAAATCAATTTACAGCTTTACTTACCAGTAATCTTATCAAAGTGATTTTGAAGTTGAATTAATTGTATCCATAGTTTTCTTTCATGGAAAATAGATCTTCAGGCAGTGAGAGTCTTCTCAAATTCAGCCGTATTGCAAGGAAAAAACACAGACACATTAGAAAATCTTTAAATGATTAGATTTTCTCGATTTTCGCTAGAACGACATTCGAACTGAACTCTTTTTTAATTAGGATGCTTTTTAACGTAGTTCTTGAGTCAATAAGAATGTTTGAGGAAGTGATCCCTCCTTTTTTAATAAATAATACTTGAGACTTAGAAAATTTAGTATTCAATCATATCCATGAAGCAACAAAGATCCGTGTAGTATTCAAACGCTCTAGCAGATTATTTCTTCAGTGTCTTGCTCCACCATGTGGCCCAAATCCTGGTCCTCCCGGTCCATTCATATGTGGTCCATCTGGCCCTCTGCCACCATTTGGTCCTCCCATTGGCCAGTTTGGTCCTCCAATATGCCCATTTGGTCCGTGACCGTTTCCAGGGCCCATTCCAGGTCCAACCATGGGAGGCTGTCCATTTCCAGGAATACTGCCCTTGAAGTCGATTAAGATGATTGTCAGTACTGCCAAATGCTGGGGGGGGGGGGGGGGTGGGGTGAGAATTGCCTACCTGATGGTGCATAGCATTCCCTGCTGTCGCGCAGAAGACGGTAAAGAGGAGAAATTTGTGGAGCTGGAAATACTCAGATGAAAGTACTGTAAAGAGATCCGAGAAATCGAACCATATTTGATCCGGTAAACTCCAGTAGAAGGAGTAGATTTGATGCTAGAATCATGTAGCACAGAAATTTATATGCGCCGAAATGGTCGAGATCTTCATTTTTTGGACATTGACATATCTGCTTTTGGGATGCAGATTCGATACAAAGCCGATAAAATTATGCTGAGTCATGACAAGGCATAATTTTACTCCCTGCTTGGTCTGCATCAAAACAAAAAGTCTCGAGCGTTGCAAAAATGCTAAAACTCGCCAGTCACTTTCCTTGCTTCCGCGCTAAAGTTCAGATCATTTACGGGAAGGTCCTACACTACTAGTATGAGAAAGCTTGATATGTTGAAACTCAGTTCTTTATTGCGCTAACATTTATGGTCAGAAATGTGACAAATCACCAAGGTAAATCGACAGAGAATTCAAAACTGCTCATTATTTTGGGTCGAAGGAGACTGAGGAGTGACTCCTTCCAGGCCCTTTTGAGCGCCTTTGGCGCAGTATGATGGGTCCCGTCGAAATGATAGCACGCTAGGAGCTTTTTTGCCGAGTTAATGATCTTTGCGCCTATATCCAATGCCTCGACACTGCGTTAATTCTAAATAGCCACGCTTCCAAACTTCATTTTAGGAGTACTGCCGCTGGCGAATTTGCGGCATGTGTGCTAGATTCATTAGTGCTGTGCTGTGTGTGGAGTATCATATTTTTCCATACATTATCGCTGTAACAATACCGAACCGGACATAACAATTATACCTCACAGTGCCATGTTTATGATGGGTTTGTTGCAAATTTAGTGCACGTTTTTCTTCCCTCTTCTTTCAAGCACTAGTTTTTGAAGTAAAATCATATTCCTTCAAAATTTTCTATGACATCCGAAAATTCGTTTTTTTTCTAGTTTTGTGCATATGCTTTCGCTCTCGTAGGCTTTACTCATTCTTGAGCTTCATGCCATCAAAAATGAAAGGTTAGATCTCAAAAATGTCTCCTTTTCCGCTCCTTGCTCTGCATTCAAGATATAAATCCAATTTTGCTTCAAAATAATGCAATGATTGAGAAGTTTTTTTCTCACAAGATGCTTCTCTAAAGGATATGGAATTTCAAGGAAGTTTGAGCTGACAAATATTAGCACAGAGTCAGCCAATCGTATAAGCACAGTCTGATTTCTTACAATATGCAGAACGGTGAAATTTCTCTTACTTTCCAACGAAAAGTGAAAATCTTCATAAAGAACAGTTTGCCAGCCGCCAAGACGTCAGGAAAGTTGATCACTTTTGACTTTTTGCAGAAAATTCTTTCAAAAAAGTTCTAAAATGCTGGGCTGGGCACGACTACTTGACCTGCTACACATGAGCAGAGTGTGGGCAATTCTACTACTATTTCTGTTTTCCTGAGAGACTAGGGTGCCATTCGATAGAGCGGAGCAAGCTCTAAAAAACCCACCAAGAATCCACCTAATTCTTAATCCAGGCAAAATTTGGAGCCAAAAATCAAAGTTTTCCAGCTAACCCAAAAATCGGGTCTAGTTCCAGAAACTTCTTCTAGATCTTGTCAGCATTTCAGAGCTATTGGTATACTGATGGCAGTATGCGTGATTTTATCTAAATAATGTTGACTTGTTTGTGAGAGGCTTTGATCCCAGAGACGCTAAAATTCTGCATTGTTGCCAATATGTTGAAAATGGCGCACAGTTATGAGCAGGGTTGAGCGTGAGGTCAGGCGCGCCCGACCTGGAGGGTCGTCTTGGGGGTATGACTGAGGGGGGAGGGGTCGTAATCAAGAACCGAATCCGTTCATGGGGAGATACTACGAAGGTGAAGAAGAAATGCGCTAGTCCGGTGGTTTTCGTAATCACCAGTACAGGGATGACGGTTGTACAGTATACTGATTGTTTCCACAATCGAAATTTCACCCAAATAGTCCTCATCATTTACCTTCACATATCATGAAGCCGCCAAGTAAGCTTGTTGTGTGAAATGGGTATTATTTCCGTAATCAGCATGTCAGATTACCTCTATGAGCTCTGAAGTCATTACCTACCGCATTTTCTAGTGCAACGTCTAGAAAGCGTTGTTTTTAAACATGATTAACTTGGCTTCAAAAGTGAAAGAAGTCAGCTTTTTTATACTCATAACAAAGTAATGTTCCCCGTCAATCTATACTAGAAATTAGGATTCATATCGCTGTCAAATAGTGGATTAGGAAGTACTGCTAATATTCCAAACATAGCATTTTTCACCTTGAGCGCGTCAACTCCGCGGATTACTACAAGGCCGAAACAAGTCGAAACAAGCTCAAACACTTATTATGGAATCTTCGAGAGTTGTGCTAGCGAATCACATAAAAACTGGATAGAAGAGCTTCCTCGAAAATAAAGTTAATGGGGTCGGGCGCAACCCCTCAAAAGGTCAGGCGGCCTGACCTTTTGAGCCTGACCCCTTTAACTTGCCTTTAATGTTCAAAAATCGCTCCTTTTTTAGTATGAGTATTGAGCGCAAAGCCTCTTTTTGCTTTATTGAAAATTTGGAGCCAAACACTCCACCCCTCCAAAAACTATAACTCTGAAAAGAGGGCTATCCAAGTTCAAAACTTGCCGTCAAGTTGCGTGTGGTTGTGCAATCGCAGAAAGTTGGGCCTACGGCCAAAAAACAAAAATCCTCCAGTGAAGGCTGGTCTTCTTCAAAATATCACAGTCTAAGGTCCTGGAGTTTAAGCGGAGGGGTCATTTTAGGGGCTTTCACAGGGGGGGGGGGTCGTTTTCGAAGGACTTGTGCCTGACCTCCTGCTCAACCCTGGTTATGAGTTACAGGCTCTAAGCTGTTTGCGCTTGCACGCTTTGTCGTTTAACGCTTGCCCTCTTCTAAAAAGAGATGGGTCCGTAACGGAATCCCTCTAGCTTTCCGCCTGCTTTTTAGCGCTCCGCTTATGCACGATTTCTGCAAGACGCATTGAAAGGTAGGCATGGCTAAAACACACACTTTGCACCACGGCACTGTTTCAGACAACGAGGTTTTGTGCTGCAAATGACTGAATTAACTTAACTCGTCTCTTAATTGACTCGTCCACGCCTGCCAAAATACGTTCTCATAAAGAGGATTGCGAGATTTGTACCGTATCCAGAATCAAAACCAGGAAAGGTCTGAGATCGGTAAAACGGGAAGCTTTTGGGAGTTTTTTCTTTTGAAATTGATCTTATTTAAGCGGTGGAAGCGATTTCAGCGACTTTCTTAGTAATCTCAAGCCTTTGCCGCTCTTGAGCCAACAAAGTAACAATCTTTGTCGAATTCGGCGCCCACCTTTGCTTTGTAAATATCTTTGTTAAGCAAAAACGTTCGTACTGTTTGACAACATTTTCAAAACAATGGCGAACATATCGCTTCGAAAAGGAAGACTTTATGCGCGTTTGGTGGGTACCAAGTGATTTGGGGTAGACGAGGTTGTGGAATATAGATTTATTCGCACGGGCGTAGATTAGTCGTGAAGAAGAGTGAGGTGTCCCGGTGTGGACCGGGGAGCCACCTCTAATACATTCGGAGGCTCCTTATATAGGAAGGAAGGCGAGCTGAACCGAGTAAAAGGTACAATGTACACGAGTTGGTGCTTGAAAGGAGATGCCGCCGATTGGCTACACTCCTGGCGCACAGGTACCACTCACTCTTGAGTGATTAGATACTCAAGAGTGAGTAGCTCACAATTTAGCCTACGGGTATTCCGTAGGCTATCTAGAATACAGAGTTCATCAATGGTTGATGATACAGAAATCATCAACACTCCGGGCGAGCAAGAGGAAAGTGAGATCTGGTAAGATCCTAATTAGAGTGGCAGATACTTGTGAAGTTGACTAGCGAATAAGTTAATACGTACGCATACGGAAAAATGAGCTATGAAGGAGGATTTGCAAGTAACTTGAACATACACACAAGAGTACAATTATTAACGTAAATTTATAATGGAAAAAGCATCTGAAGTGATCGCTGGAGCTGGTGGGCGGTTTGGCGCTGCTTGTCGTCCTCGCCATTTCCTCCTCTTCCACTTTGAATCGGTAGTTGCTTCGTTGACGACCATATCCTTGATAGACGGCGTTCTTACACGATGTATGTGCTCATGGTGTCTTCTCTCCGGTGTGTTCGTCATCCTTATCTTGGCTTCATTGTTTGTGAACCGCTGCGGTAGCCATTCTATCCCATATCGGGGGCGGACATTGGAGTTCGTCGTGGAACGTATTGTGGCCAATCAACGTTGTCTGTCTGCTCGAGCTTCAGCGAGGATGGAAGCATTGACTGTTGATCTTGTAAAGGTGGATTGTCGGCTTTTGGATGAAGAACATGGCTGTAGCATCGCTCGTGGCGGAATCGTTCTCCTTTGGATTGTTCCTTCATTTTGCTTTGGCAATAATGGCTTGTTGCATGTTCGAGTGTTCGCACTGTTGAAATGAGAGTACGCTTTGGGTTTCTTCAACCTCTCGTTGTGTAGTGGAGTTGGGCGGTTGTTTCTCAGTGTTCTCTTTAGCGCTGATATGCAGCCGAATGTGCCGATGAATCTTGATGTGGTGATAGTGCAGCTCGTCCCTGATATAACGAATCCGAAGATGGTTGGGGTCAGAATGAGCCCTGAAGGAAGCTTGCGCACTCTGTCGTTGTGGATAGTGACGAGATTTAGGAGATCTTGTCCTATGATCATGTCGGGTGAAACGCTTTTGCAGGAGAGCGTATCTTGAGCGATTATCAGCTATTCATCAGAGATAAAACGCAAGTCTGCTTCCGTGAGACTTGCTGTCCGCATGTCGGTAGTCAGCTTCTGCTTATTGTGTACTGACAAGTTCTTGAGCTTTTTGGAGCTGTGAAGACTTTTCAAGGTGATTTGTACTTCAGATGAGTTGAATTGCTCTTGTTGCTCGCCCATCCCAGATGTAGTAAACGAAGTAGTACGAAGGACTGGAAGCTTGAGTTCTTCAAAAAGTCCTGATTTGATGAAACTTCGTTGTGCACCGGAGTCAAGTAGTATCGTTACTGGCTGGTAATCCCACTCTGCCTCGTTGAATATGGTTGCCGAAACAATTTGAAGAATGCATTGATCCTGTGCAAGTGGAATCACTTCGGGATTGTAGACTTCTTGTCGTGAGCCTTGTACGACGTGCGTAGTACTCTTCTCATGACGATCCTGACTGATGTCACGGGATGACCAAGGAGCAGGTGAATGTTGATCAAGTGCAGGATCTCGGTATTGTGTCGAGAGTCCTCTGCGTTTTCCTGCTTCTGACAAACAAAGAGATCCATGGCGTGATCCTTTCCATTTGGGGCACACGCCAAAATTCGTGCAAGCGTTAGAGTTGTGATCGCTTGCAAAACATCTCCAACACACTCCTTGATTTGCTGCTTCAAGTCGTCGGGCTTCTGGTGTGGTGTACTTCTGGCACGAGTAAGGCGAATGTGGTTGTCCACATAAACACAAGCGTCTTGGTTTCGAAAATTGTTCTTCTCTAACGCATCTGGTAGTCCTTCCATTTTCTTGGTTGTTTGGGTGGTAGTTGGTTGGAAAGAGAGTTTCCGTTGTTAGCAAGATTGTCTCTCGCAGTGAAATGATGCTGTCGATGGTGTTCAGGACTTCGCTAACATCAAATGGATCGTCTTGTACCGCTTCTTTCTGGATGGCGGTCGTACAGATGGATTCGGGAAATTTGGAAAAGATTATTCGACGCCAAAGTCTGTCTGCGTTCATCTTTGCTCCCGTTTGCTCCAGGTGAATGATCCTTGAGTTGATTGCTTCGAAAGTGTTTCGGCAGCTTCTCGGATCATCTGAGGCCCTGGGTAGTTTTTCGATCTCGTTTATAAGTATATCTGCCATGTTGGCAGAGCGATCGAAATGTTTCTTCAAGATATCTATCGCTGTCTGATATCTTTCTCCGATGACGGGTATGCAGCTCAAGGTGGCTGCTGCTTTCCCCTTTAGTGCTTGCTTCAGAAAGAGGAACTTGTCAGTGTCGGATAGGTCTTCGTCGGCGTGGATGAGAGATTCAAACACTGTCCAGAAGCTGTTGAACTCTCTGAAGTTCCCTGAGAAGGTAGGGATTTCTAGCAGAGGCTTCCGGATTTTTATTTGCCTTTCGTTGCGCTGTGGGAGGCTGCTGTTCCAGGTCTGGCCTTCGTCGCTGGCTGCATGACTTGATGTGCTTGGTACACTGGTGAGCAATAATGCAGCTTGATCCTTCAATTCGTTTTGACGGAACTGAACTTTGTTCTGCCACTGCACGACCTTGACTTCCAAATGAAGAGATTCCAACTCCAAGTGTTTGCTGAGTTCTGTCATAAGCTTGTCTCTCTCTTTTTCTTCATTTCGTGCTCCAATGTATTCGATCGCGGCGTTCACTTGTGTGTCTTGAAGTTTAACCGCATTTTGCAGAGAGTTGAGCAAATGCGTTATCTCTCCCATTTTGGTTTTGATGTACGTCTCGCATTCAGTCCTTTCTACCGGAAAAGTGAACGGTGTGTTTATTTCGTTCACTTCCGACTCGTATGACTTCACGAGTGCGCAGGCATTGTTGATTTTTGACTTAAAAATCTGAAGCGCTGCCATTTTTTGGTTTTCTGCACGGGGTAGGGTCGTGCACTGGTGTAGTGATTCCAAGCGTTCCAATTCGGACGTGTGTATCCTCCTTTTGTTGGTCGCTTTGGCTTGAGGGCGACAGCAGGGCTGGCCTCGATACGATAGCTGTCCTTACTGGTTGCAAGGAAGCTTTCTAGTGAGCTGGCAATGGGGTGCCGAGCGTCTACTAGCTGTCAGTAAGCGCGCCTGGTTGGCTTGTGCGCTGTACTGGACGGTAAGGTATTGGAACCTGTCCCGTAAATGTAACGATCCAAAGCTCAAGATCGGTGAACCAACCGTGAGTGAGCTTGGAAAGTTGAGATTTCTTTGCTAACTGTGGATGGACCAGTCAGTCAGCTAGAAAATCTCCTTGCTAAGCTATGGATATGACCTGATAGCTTCGCAAGATGAAACTCGTTTGTGAAAGTGGATGAACCAGCAATCACAGAGTGTTTTTTGGCTAATGGAAGCCAAAAAAGTTCGAGGATTTCTGTTGCTAACTGTGGATGGACCAGTCAGTCAGCTAGAAAAAACTCTTTGCTAAGCTATGGATATGACCTGATAGCATCGCAAGATGAAACTCGTTGTGAAAGTGGATGGACCAGCAATCACAGAGTGTTTTTTGGCTAATGGAAGCCAAAAAAGTTCGAGGATTTCTGTTGCTAACTGTGGATGGACCAGTCAGTCAGCTAGAAAACCTCTGCTAAGCTATGGATAGGACCTGATAGCTTAGCAAGACTCGTATTAGTAAAAGTGGATGAACCAGCAATTACTAGAGTCGAATATTGGCTAATTAGTAGCCTAGAGTGCGAGGAGTCTGTCGCTAACTGTGGATGAACCAGTCAGTTAGCTAGAAACCTCTACTAAGCTGTGGATAGGACCTGACAGCTTAGTAAGACTCTTGGTCGCGAAAGTGGATGAACCAGCAATCACGAGAGTCGAATGGCTATAGAGCCTGCCACGCGGGTCTTAGGCCTTGATTTCCTGGGTCCTTAGAAGGAATCGCCGAGGAAATACAAGGAAAATCACTGGCCGATGCACCAATTTGGTGGGTACCAAGTGATTTGGGGTAGATGAGGTTGTGGAATATAGATTTATTCGCACGGGCGTAGATTAGTCGTGAAGAAGAGTGAGGTGTCCCGGTGTGGACCGGGGAGCCACCTCTAATACATTCGGAGGCTCCTTATATAGGAAGGAAGGCGGAGCTGAACCGAGTAAAAGGTACAATGTACACGAGTTGGTGCTTGAAAGGAGATGCCGCCGATTGGCTACACTCCTGGCGCACGGGTACCACTCACTCTTGAGTGATTAGATACTCAAGAGTGAGTAGCTCACAATTTAGCCTACGGGTATTCCGTAGGCTATCTAGAATATAGAGTTCATCAATGGTTGATGATACAGAAATCATCAACAGCGCGGCATATTGACAACCGCAGGAGTACAATATGCTTATTTCCACCTAACGTTCACCTTGAAATACAGCCGTTCAATTTTTCTCTATTGTAGACGAGATAGAATAAGATTTTTTTGAAATTTTAGTCATACCGACAGCACAGTATTGACATTTGGTTATAAGAATAAAGCACGTTTTAATGTTTGCTATACAATGCTTATCTCGCATTACACTATTCAAGCATTTCAGATACTCTGATAGTATTCGATGTACTATGGTATCAATAGAATTTATTTGAAAAAATGTTAGCGTCTGTTAGTTGTTAGTTTTGACAAAGGAATGAAAAATTATACTGCAAAAAAATTATTTCTAGACTATCGGGTACTTAGGTAGCAGTCTCTTACGTTAAAGTGCACTGACTTTATTTAATTTCGTACCTGATTTTTTTGTCTTACAAAGTTTGAGGAACGCGCTATTGGAATTCTTTGTTCTAATTTGCAGTATATATGTATACTTTATTTTTGTTGTACATCTTACTATTGCAATCAATACACACATAACATTGTCAACTTTTGGTTTTATTTTGGAAAGTAAAGTCATGAAGAAACATACTAAGATAACAATAACATATAAGTTGTGTTAATTACATATATTATGATAGACGTCATAGCTTCCTGACATTAAGCATTCTGCGGACGAAATGCCTTAGTAGTTTTCTTCACGCATTTGCTTCCAGCTTCGATCCATCATCTCCAGTATTTGGATTGCCCCTGCCCAAACCTCTCCCTCGGGGGCCTTCTGGTCCAATCATTCCCTGTCCGCGCGGTCCCATTCCTGAACCTCCTTGCCAACGTGATCCCATTCCTCTTCTTCCCCAATCCACTCCTGATCCTCCTCGTCCCCGTCCTCGTCTTCCCCATTCCATGCCTGGTTCTCCCGGTCCCATACCTGGTGGACAATGAAGTGGGTCAGCAGGTCCATGCATCTCAAAGACATGATTATCTGATTATAGTGTGTATGTAGAAAAGAAAAGGCGAACTTACTGGGCGCGCTTCCGTTCTTATCGTTGTTAATACAAGGAAGAGGAAGAGAAGAGTAAGCTATAAAAAAATTGTTTAGAACAGATTTCATCCTGAAAATTGTAAAAGCTACCATTGCAGTAATGTTTTCGAATTTAGCAGAGATGTTGATTCGCTGCATAACCGAACCTTTTATACTTTCAAATAATCTGATCCGGTTTGGTGTTGCAGTAATAAACGCATTATGAAAACCTGGGAGCGAAAACATACAAAGCTATTAGATCTTATTGATTCATGGAAAATGCAAACTCGATCCTCGCATGAACCCAATGGGGATTGAAGGCCAGATGAGTCAGTTGACAATTAAGGGATTCGTCATTGGGATAAAGCAGCATTGGTTATTTGAGATTCGTCAATTATCGTTTGAAATGAGACATAAAGTAACATTCGTTCACTCTAGGTGATCTTTCGTTATGTGATCCACACGGGAACAACCTCGCACACTTTCAGCTCCTACTGGTGGACGAACAGAAAGGTTCAGAGATTCAATCATCTTTTAGCCACTCCTCATTGATGTTTTTGACAACACGACCACGATTTGACTGTCCGCTTATAAAATGTGAGTGAATCCAAAACGGGAAAAACATTTTCTTGAAAGAGCGTATTTGCGTCTCCAGCAAGTTCGAACGTTGTACGAGTTTTGCGGGGTTACAGTGTTGTTGTTTCTCAATCTTCTACGGTACTAACTACACTTACCTAAATATTTAAACAAGTGTGAGGTCTTGGCTACGGATCACGATTGTTCGCGTTTTCCGAGCTTTATCAATGGGTCCAATGACTCAGCGATGAGCCGGAATGAGATGCCCACGAACTGGATAGGGTCACTGTTATCGCTACTATCCCATGGTTTAAACGCCAGCTTTCTGGTTTGGCTAACTCTGCCTTTGGCGAGAGCTGGCCTGATGGGACCTCTTGTTCAATAAGACCAATTCTTCCCCTTTCTTTAAACTTTCATGTGTGAATTCTGCTCTTTATGCCTGATACCTCGTCTCACGATATAAACAGTGTCTATATATTTAGTCTGGTTAAAGCTGACTCAGAAAATGCTGTGCTTACAGACAGTAGAGTATTCTGTAAACATATGTGAGCCTTAGCGATCATTTCTCAAAGGCCAAGCCAAACTTTTCGCATGCTTCGGCGGAACTCTGTTTGACTGTCGAGTCATGCGAGAATGATGGGCGCTAGCTACCAGATTAATACTTGGTTTGACTTGTGCTGTGTAATCTGAAGGATGATTTGCAATTTGATTATTGAAGTTTGCGCGCATACGGCTTTTTGCGAAAACTTTCTCTCCTATCGCTTGTCAAAATTTTGTCTCCCCTATCCTTTATAAGCGATCAATCGTGGTGTTCAAAGCGTGGACCCCGGCCAGCTTCCCATAAGTGTCTCCGCGACGCACCCGCAATGTCTTCGGTGCGTTTGCTTTTGATATTAGTGTGTAGTGCGAGTAGTCCACTTTAGTACATGTTACAAACAATTCAGATATTTTGAAATTTTTGGAATCTTTTCTTATTGTATCTCTTTGTTTAGTATTTTTTTCTATTGCAAACAGACTTTAAGCGTCATTTCGCATAGGAAAAAAGTTTTCTGCTGTGTTACAAATGAAGAATTGACATACTTGACATACTTGGGGATTGCTCTCGGAGCTAATCATGCTTATGAGCGACGCTTTGCGAACATCATCGATTAGACTAGAGTGACTCAAAGGCAGTTTTCCAGCAGATTTGCGCCCTGTGGGATATAGCTTGTTGGGGTTTCTGCTCACCGCATCAAGCTCTAGGCCCAGTCCGGCTGGTTGATGTTACCCCTGCGCCGAGAAAATTGAACTCGAACTGGTGCGTGCAACCCCATTCGGAGGGCTTTGCTAACCTGTTCGGCGCGGGACCCCAACCCCGCTTTGTGCGTGCTATCCAAATGACAGACGGCAGAGTCTTCGTGCCGGGGCCTCTCGACTTCCCCTTGAGACTCTCGTCCGAGTTGCCCTTTGAAAATTGCGTAACCGCCCCAAAAGCAGTCTTTCCATCCAGTTCAAAGCTCTGAGGGTTCTCCGTGTCGAAAAGGCCAGAAACATGCAGAAAAGTGGAGATGCAAAACCTGCAGGGACACCGTCTTTGAAGCTGAAAGATCAGGTTCGGTGTAGAGGTCCGTTTCTTATCTCGATCCTTTCGCGGGTTCAATGCTTTCACCTTTTCAATCCTCAATACAAATCGAGAGAGTGCATAGGGAGTCGTGTTGAGGGTGAAAAGCTGTGGGAGGAGGAGAAGGAGTGTTCGTTATTGCTTTAAAAGTGGGGTTCAGCGATAATTTTTCTATTCGACTCCCTCTGTCTGATAGAGGACATGTCTTCTAAGAAAAAATCCACCCTTTTCAGGTCAGACCAACTACGCTGGTGGCGTAAGGCAGTGTGCGGACAAGATTAGTGATTCTGTAATCATAGGTAAGACAGTTAATGCTCTCAGCCACACCTACGCACAAGTGTAAATGATCGTTAGTCTATTACGGCTAATACGCTCGAGAAATGAACGCCTTTATGGAAACCAGCTTGCGCTTTTTTTAGTGCCAGTGTGCGCATGCCGCCACCCACATTGAGTACGTAGTGAAATATCGACGTGCACCATAGTCTTTGATGGGAATTGCTTCATGCTAAATCAAAGGTTTTGAAAAAAGCCTGTTTCTACTGTTTTCGCTTTTCAAATGATTATCGGATTTGTAGCGTATAAGTCCAGATAAGCGGAAAACCTAGAAATTGTAGTTGTTGCTTGGTAAAACTTGATAATACGAATCTGTCAGAACCCCCTTCTTGAGAAGTTAAGGTGACATCGCGAAGGAGTCGAGCTAGGGAGACATCGCTCAAAAAGGGGAACGCATTAGAATTTGAACTCTATATGTTTGTTTGCTTTGTTTGTTTGCTGAACCTGAACGAATTGTCAACAATACTAGGAATTAGTAGAAAAAGAAACACGGCGCAGAAAGCTTAACATCAGTCTTCTTAAAGGCAGTGTCCAGGCAAATCTGGGCACATGGATTTTTTGCCTGGATGATAAGGGGGTCTTAGCTAAGGCACTGCCCAAACGGCAGCGCAAATGATTCATTCACGGCTAAAAAATCTATTTCCAAACACTACGCGCTTGCGCCATGACCCTACAATCAGGATGGGTCCGAGCGCGAACGTAGTGTTAAAGTGAGCAAAGTCGTTTTCGGGTTACGGTCACGGCGCTGGGGCGGAGCTTTTGGGGACGGATTTCTCAGCTTTGAACCATTTGCGCTGCCCCTTGGGCAGAACCTTGGATAGGGCCGCCTCATCAATGTCCAGGCGAAAAGCTCATGCGCTTAGATTTGCCTGGACACTGCCTTTGAGGAGAGACCTGGCAGTTTGTGTTTGCCATGTAACGTGGACATATCTTTGAAAAACTGACCGGGACAACACTAAGGTCAGACGTTTCGAACAGCTTTAAATCTGGACTTGATTGAAGCCTTTGCTATCATAAGCGAAACTTCAAAGACAATGCGAGATTACCTGGGTTTTGTTTACTCTTTCCCATGCTCTTATTATGTGGTAATCCTGAATTCGTCTGTATGATAAACAAATTTTTCTAGAAGTTTTATATGTTCAGACTAGCTCTTACTAATGGGCGATGACTGAGCAATGATCAGGAGATGTTCAGAAATTATTCTGAACTGTTTTATTGTCATTGCTACTGTTTCGTGGCCTGCGTAGTAAATCTCATGTGAGGTGGTCTTGATCCGCGTGTCCAATCTGTGGGGCCTTGTCGTTTAGGTCCGCCGGGTCCTCCAGGCCCACGCGGTCCGCGTTGTCCATTGGGAGGACCTTCTCCTTTAGGTCCACCAGGACCTCCCGGACCTCCTCTTCGTTGCTCTACGTCTGTCTCGTTCTTCTGTAGACATACAGAGTTATGGCTACTAGTTTAGAGCTTCACGAAGATTTTCGTAAGGAAGGCGCTTACCATGTGAGGCGTTCTTGCACTCACAATCGTCGAACATATCAGAGCAAGAAGAAGCAGAACATACAGCTAAAAAGTCAGATTCAAATTTGATTACAGAGTGAAGAAGAAAAATTTACCATGTCCACAAGCCACGGTCGCTCTGAACCTCGGTGCTCAGGAACATCTAGTAGGCATATTTATATCATTTGATTGATGCCGTTCTGTGCACCCAATAAATTATTTTAACTCCACAAAATCCAGTTGGAACTCAATGAATTTTGAACCATTTCATGAGATTTGGTTGAACTTCATACTCTTTTGAATTGTGAATTATGTGCACAGATCATAAACATTAAAAACCAAACTTCAGCTTCACACTTCACTGCCGTCTTCCTACCGTTTAACAGTTCTATTTGATATGTGAGCGGGTTTTACAGTCAAGTTATAAATCAGCTACGTATTACAAGCTCCTTCATGCTCCTTCGTATCAAGGTTTACTCACACATAGACAGCAAGTCAACGACGATTTCGTACGCAAACTCAATTTTTAGTTCCTCTTTAACGTCTCCTGTGCTCTTCTTCTAAAATTTTTTAAATGTAACTCACAAGGGAAGTGCTTTCAAAAATCACGCTCTTTGATATGGGAGTTATATCATCTGAAGCGATCTACGCTGATTTGAATTCTGCACTCCGTTACTACGGAGCGCTCTCCTCAGAGGAGTTATAGAAATCTATTCCTGATTCTAAGGTTCTTGAGTATATGAGCACTGTTATGTACGTTAGTGCAATAGTGTAGTAGTGTGCTGGCATTAGAGCAGAGAGGAAATCTTATATATAAAGCTGAATGTCTGTTTGTATGTCTGTATGTCTGTCTGTCTGTACGTACGTATGTTCAGAATAGAAAATTCCATTTCTGAACCGATCCGGAGCAAACTTGGAACACATACACTTCGGGCCCCGGCGGGTGCCATAGGCTACTTTTCGTCATCGATCGATATCGATTTTATCGATTTTTATCGATTTTTTTTTGCAGAGTTCACCTACGGGGGTGAGAGTTGGCACAGGGGGGTAATTGAGTATGCTGATTACGATTACAATATTGGTTTTTAAAATCGTCCATTAATTTCTATCGATTTTATCGATTTTTTTGCAAAGTTTGTTTGAGCTACTGGGCTGGGAGTTGGCACAGTGGGGTAATCGAACACGCTGTTACGATTACAATATTAGTTTGGCGCTATTCGGCTATCCGGGCCCCAAAATTGTTTTGTCGTAGAGCTTGCTCAAACTTCGTGTAGAAGGGTTATCTACATGCTGATTACAGATATCACACTTTCGCAGAACGTTTCCCCGTGTGGTTACGGTAGGTGTACGGTAGGAATTCAGTATCATGAATTCGGCTGGAGTTCGGTCCAGAAAACTCAATCCACATGCTGATTACGGATTTCGTACTCTCTCTGCATATTGGGACTTTTTCATAGAGTTATGGTGTTTATACGGTATGGGATCGAAAACATATGATCGGTCTTCAGATTCGTGTGGAGGTGTATTACAGACTTTGCCTGATAATACAGGTAAAGTTGTTGAACCTCCACGTCATAGCATTGCTTTCGGTACTCTCTCGCTAGCGAAAACCGCCACGCGTTGAGTTGGCAAGACTCCACCCCCACATGAATCTGGAAACCGATGATAGATTTGCTTTAAACATCATCTAGGGTGGTCATTTAGCGCGCTGAACATGAATATCATGCTGATTTAGCAAGGTAGCGCATTTTCTTGGGTTACGGTGGATGTACAGTAAGTGGGTCGAAGTTACAGATTTGCTTCCTACCTTAACGGTTCACAAGCACACTGCTTATGAATATGATGCTTGCTCGCTATTACAACGCATATTGTGAAGTTATGGTGAGTCGCAGGGTTTGAATGGACATTTTTTCGCTTGCGGGTCAATTTAGATTCCAGATATTCACGAAGTGGGGAAACGGTCGTTCCGCATGGCGGTCTTTAGCGCCATCCTGATAACCTTTCCTAACGCATAACGCACGCGACAAATCTCCCTCCCCTTTTTTGCTTAGGCAAAAAAGGCGAAGGTGTGTCGCGCGCGGCAGTGGTCCTATAAGGAAAGCATTACGGTCGTGGGAAACTTTTATATCACACGAATTGTTTTTATCGTGGGGATTAAGCATGATTGAAACAGCATCTTAGGTAATTCCCTACCAAGGTTTCAGGCAAGTTCATGAATTTTACCCGCTGCCACGCGAAATGACTACGATATTCGTCGCGGCTTGATTAACCCCCATATACCGAGTTTGAGCAAGATCCACCACAAAAACATTTTAGGGTCTGGACAGCCGCATAACGCTATCAGTTTTTAGAGTTATCATTACTTTTATCGATTTTATTGTTCTTTTTTTGCAAAGTTTGAGCTACGGGGCTGGGGGGTTGGTGAGGAAGGTTAGGTGGGCATACTGATTACTAACACAGCGGGAAAGGAATTGCATGTAGAAGTGGGCACAGGTAAAGGTGTACGGGGATAGAAACGCAACCTTTGTCGTTTTTGACAGGGCCGGGCGGAGCCGGGTATGCCAACTAGTGGTTTTTAGAGTAAAATAGAGCTTTAGACTCTTACAACATGCGCTTTGCCAGGAAATTCTTTTTTGAGGTTAAGTATGTCAAAGTCATTATTTTAAGTACAAACACTTCAGGTGCGTATCAAACTTACATTCAACCTGAGAAGGGCTCGCTCAGGGCCCGGCACCGATGGTTTGGGGTCAAACTGGACTTCGTTTTTGGAGTTAGAAGCAACGGGGACATCGTTTTTATGAGGTCCTGGAGGAAGCGCCAAAAAAAAACACGACGAACATGTCAGGTTTCACGAGTTGAACGTGTTCTTTCGCAAGCGCGCGAATTTCAAATGCAAGACTCAAACAAACAAATGGCTTGTTTACAGCGCACAAACAATCACATGGCTCCGAATTTGGGCTATGTGTATACAATATTACTCCAAGCTATGTTATGTAAAAAGTTCCCAAAACTTATGTGTCCTAATATCCGTTCTCGAATTTGTTGGTTTCTAGACCAACTACCAAACCAACTGGGTTGGTTCGGAGCATAAATATCGAAGAGTTCACATGAGTTTTGGACCTTTTTGATTTGGACGATTAGAACGGTCAAAAATCTATCATATATTGAAGAGAGCGGATCAAACCGTTGCCTCTCCCCTTTTTTGAGTCAAAAGTGGTATAATTCTACGCGTTGATAGATATCGCGCTCCAATCACTTACGGTGTCCTTTGAAATATGTGACGAGAAATGCATCGCCAGATTGTTGAGGACACAGATTTGGTTGGCCTAGGAGTTTTTCGACATTCTGGGCACTAAACGGTACCGTACCCAACGACAGAGCCTTTAGTCACGAAATGTTTTCTTTTTGCTTTTTTGTTATATACTCCAAAATGCGCTTTTTTCGCTTTTTTGTCGCTATTTTGGCTGAATAAGGGTTTCCCTACTGATTTTCACGTCGGAGGACTTCGTAAATTTTCGCGAAGTCATGGGGACTTCGTTTTCTAAAAGCCTCCAAACCAACGCGTGCCGGGCGCTGGGCTCGCTCTCCCTCGGAATCGAACCCTCGACCTCTCGACTCTAACGCTAGCACGCTAAGCACGCGCTACTACACCAAACGTAACTGCTCGCTCAAAGAGCGCCCAAATCAAGATTCTAAGGCTTCCGCAAGTCCTTTCGAAAGGTTCTGCAGAAATGAAATGCAGATTTGAAATCAGCTTTCAAGAATGGTTCGGTGGATATGCATCTTATATCAAACGGCCGCGGCCCCTGAAAGTACTTTCCTTGTCAGCAAAATCGAACTAGCAAAGCCTATGTGGGAAATCCCTCACGTTTCCAGCTTTTCGAAAACGAAAGGTGAAAAGAACATTTGAAATAGAATATTTAAAATTTGTTGCTTCTCATCTTGCGCGTCGTGGAGACATTTGAAGCAGCATAGGAAAACTTTTGAGATTTTTGAACCTTCTTCGTCTAGAATGCTAATGAATGTCAAAATGGGGCACCTAATACTTAGAATGAGTTATTCCTAACAGTAACCATAACTCGCTGTATCCCAACATTTGTAGAAAAAAGTAAGCACATAATCTCTAAAACAGCTACAGTAGCGATGTGTGACGCGAATAAGCTCGATATCTATCACAGATCGCAGCTGTAAGTTTCAGTTTATTGGATACCACGCTTATCTTCTACAAATTTGGACAGTACTCATATGACGTTTACCGGTAATGATTTGAACATATATAGAGACAAGAAAAAATGAATGAAGTTTGTGAACCTTACAAAAGGCGTTCGTTGACTCTTTTTTGTTTGCAAACTGCATTTTTCATTGACCACCTTATAATATTTCGTTGTCCGGAAAATAATGTCGCATCGTGTTTTATCGTGCAATATCGCGGCACGTTAAGCACGAAATAAAAAACCAAAGTAAGCTACAAAATGACGCCCAAACATTTGCGCCAAATGCGATTTGCGTTAAGTTTGTATCCAAATTCTAGAAGGCACTAAAGGCCTAAAAAATTCACGCAGACGGTCCATGCACAGTTCGGTGATTTTCCCATGGCTAGAAATCGAAGAACGGAATTTGGCATTTTTTTGTCAAGGCATTCGGAGCTTCTCCCAGACAGGTGATCTTGTACTAAAAATTTTCGTAATATAAACATAAAAATTTGGCTTCCACATTTCGAGGAAAATCTAATTTTTTGAAGAAAACCCGAAAACGCGACATATTCGAATCTAATTTTTTGGAGAAAACCTGAAAACGCGACATATTCGCACTTCTGACCTTTTTTATTTCTCGTGTTCTAGCCATGGAAAAACTGACCGGGACGGCACTACGGTCAAATGTTCCAGACATCTCTGAATCTGGGCTTCATTGGAGCTTTGCTTACGTAAACGAACCTCTAAAAATAAGTGCGATCTTAATTGAGTTCTGTTCATTCGTTCTCATGCTCTATAGCATGTAGTGATCCTGTATTTCTCGTCAGTATGTTAAACAAATTATTCAAAATTTTTATATATTCAAACTAGATCTTACTAATTGGCGTTGAGCAATGATCACAAGATGTTCAGAAATAATTCTGAACCGTTCTATTGTCATTGCTACTGTTTCGTGGCCTGCGTGGTAGCTCTCGTGTGAGGTGGTCTTGATCCGCGTTGTCCATTTGGAGGGCCTTGTCCTTTAGGTCCGCCGGGTCCACCGGGTCCTCCAGGTCCACGCGGTCCGCGTTGTCCATTGGGAGGGCCTTGCCCTTTAGGTCCACCAGGACCTCCCGGTCCTCCTCTTCGTTGCTCTATGTCTGTCTCGTTCTTCTGTAAACATAAGGAGTTATGGCTATACCAGTTTAGAACTTCACGATGATTTTTATGAGGAAGGCGCTTACCATGTGAGGCGTTCTTGCACTCACAATCGTCGAACATATCAAAGCAAGAAGAAGCAGAACATACAACTAGAAATCTCAGATTCAAAATTGATTACAAAATAAAGGAGAAAGCGCTTTACCATGTCCACAGGCCACGGATTCGCTCTGAACCTCGGTGCTCAAGAACATCTCAAAGGCATATTTATATATCGGGATTGGTGCCGTTCTGTGTCCCCATTATATTATTTTAACTCCACAAAATCCAGTTGGCACTCAATAAATTTTGAACCATTTCATGAGATTTGGTTGAACTTCATAAACTCTTTTGAATTGTGAATTATGTGCACAGATCATAAACATTAAAAACCAAACTTCAGCTTCACACTTCACTGCCGTCTTCCTACCGTTTAACAGTTCTATTTGATATGTGGGTGGGTTTTACAGTCAAGTTATAAACCAGCTACATATGACATGATCTCCTTCATGCTTTATCTTTCGGTTTTCTGAGTTGTTAAATCGTCTAAGGTGTACAATTCGCTTCATACATACGTAGGGCATAACAGGTTTACTCAACCACACAGCCAGTAAGTCAGAACTGATTCTCTAGGCACACACAAAATTTCAATTTCTTTTCAATCCTTCTCCTGTGCTCTTCTTCTTCTGTAATTTTATAGAATGTATCGCACGAAAAAGGTGCTTTCAAAGCAGGTGGCCGTCTGATATAAGATGCACATCGTCTGAAACAGTCTTGAACGCTGACTTCAAATCTGCATTCTAAAACTGCTCTCAAAGGAGTTACGGAAGCTTGAAAATCTTAATTTTGGGCACTCTTTGAGTATGCCGACGCTGCTATGTAAGTTAGTGAGGCATGTCCTGATTAACGTGCTGGAATTAGAGTCGAGAGGTCAAGGGTTTGTAAAGAAGTCAAATAGAGCTTTAGACTTTCACGACATGCGCTTTGCCAAGAAATTCTCTTTTTTGAGGTTAAATATATCAAAGGCATTACTTTAAGCGTCTGCAGACGATTTCGAGAGCGTATCAATCTCACACTTATACTGCAAAAGGGTGCGCTTTCCAGCAAGATCTATTTCTCGACTTTTCGACTCTAATTTTAGCACGCTATCCACTACACTAACTGACGTACAGGGCAGCGTCCGTACATTCAAAATACGCCTAAAATCAGGACATTCAAGCTTCAATTCCTTTCAGAAGAACGTTCCGGAGAAACGGAATGCAGATTTAAAATTAGTGTTTAAAGGCATCATTTACCCAGATTCTTGACTTCCCGGTTTTCCTGTTTCAGGGTGTTCTCAAGTCCCTGATTCCGAATTCCGGTCGAGAAACCTCGAAAACCCCGACAATCCCCTTTCCGGAGAATGCAGGCCGGCTTTTTGGAACGGTGATTGGATGGGCGCGCACGAATGGGCGGGCATGGATGGGGTGGGCGGTGCAGTCTGAGGGTCCTCGTGCATCTTTGTTATTCCGAAGGGATTTTCTCGCTTCCAAAGAAAAGTTTTGCGCCGCGACTTGGGCCTTTGCTTGATAGGGGACCCTACTATCATATGCTGCCAAAAGCTCAAGACCTTCAACTTAGGGTGTTTGGTGCCTTCAAGACTGCCTTAGATTGCATCATATCAAACGAAACGGCCTTTAAATACTTTCGTGGTCGGCAAAATCGCTCTATGACAAAACCCTCATGCCTCTAGCATTTCGAAAACGGAGGGTGAAAAGAATATTCGAAATACATTGGAAATTCTAATGCACGTCATGGAGAAATTCAATACATTAAGCATGGGAAAAATTTTTGAGATTTTTGAAACTTTCTCATTTAGAATGTTAATGAATGTCAAAATTTGCACCTAATGCTTAGGATACAAATACATTTCAAAACAGTTACAATTGCGATCTGTGACAAAAAATAAAATAGGAGACCGTGCTTATCTTCTACAAATCTGAAAAGTATTTGTATGGCGTTTATTACCTGGCTCCTTACCTTTGCCTTTGCTCAAATACTGGTGATGATGTATGAAACGTATAAAGGCAACGAAAAAGTGGATGAAGGTTGTGATTGTAAGTTTTCGCAGAAGGTATTTTCATTGACCACCTTATAATATTAGGTTCTCCGGAAAATAATGTCGCATTGTGCTTTATCATGCAGTATCGTGGGAGGGTGAGCACGAAACAAAGTGATTGCGGTACCAACCAGTAGATCAAAGCAAGCTCTACAAAGGGGAGAGTATTTGCGCCAAGTTTGATTTACGTTAAGTTTGTAGCCAAATTGTGAAAGGCACTGAAGGCTTGAAATATTGGAAAAAAAGGTATCTCCTCTCGAAAATCCGAATCCCCTAACTTGCTCACGCACAGGCTTGCATGCACAGTTTCGTGGTGTTCTCATCGCTAGAAATCGAGAAAACGAAATTTGCTAAAGCATCCTCAGCTTCTCCCAGACAGCGAATCCTTTGGTAAACCTTTGCTAATAGAAACATGAAATTTTAGCTTTTTACATTCCAAGGAAGATGAAATTTTTGCAGAAAACCCAAAAACGCGACCTATTCGCACTTTTGACCTTATTTTTATTCCTTGTGTTCTGGCCATGGATAAATTCCACAATCTGTAGACTGAATGTTTGCTGTAAAGAGTGTATGTCTGTGCAAATTGGAGATCAAGACATTTATGTATGGAGATACGATTTTTTGGGTATCTGAAGTTTTTATAATTTGGATTCTAACTTCAGGTGGAACAAAGCATCCATGGTGTTTGCAATCTATCTCGTAGAGCTTGCTTTACTCTATAAAATGATACACCATTCACTGTTTTTTGCGATCACTCTTTCGCGGTAGGACGCAATGCGAAATTATTTTCCAGAGGACCTAATATTAAGATTGCCGGTAGCTTTCGTAGCAGGGAACTGGAAGCACTCGATGTTTTTCTAACAAGAGTGTAGGAAAAAATAGCAAACTACCATTCATGTTTCTTGAGGGTGGCAGTGTGCGTGCCCTTAAGTACATCTTACGCAGAAGTCTAAAAAGTTTGAGTCAGATATCTTTATTCAGCTTTAAATCTCGTCTTGCCGTCAAGGTATGCGAAGACTTTGAAATTGTTAACTCCTACCAGCCCAGGAGCGCTCTATCGGCATCTATGTCACAAAGCTTCAAAGTGCCTTCACTACAGATTTTCTACGTCAGGGCAGAATATGGAGGAGTGATCATTGATCAATCCCATATTCTGGTGTCATTGTGCGACCACAGCAAGACCATGGCGCATTAGCCCAACTCGTCAGGTACTTACGCATAATCGGTTATTAGCCCCTATGCGCAGCACCTGTTTTTTCCTGATGTGGAATTGACAACTGCATATCCATTTTGATGAATTTGTTCTTATAGGGCAAGTTCGGACTAGCAGGATTGAAGAGGTCAAATAGCAGCCATAGATCATGGAGCAGGTTGATCCATAAGTTTTGCAAAAATATCTTTGGAGATTTTGATGTTTTCCAGCAAACATATAGTCTAATGAAAATATTGCAGAAGGAGCGCATGCGCTATATTATGCTAGCATATCATGGCAAACAAGCTAGAAAATCAAAAAGAAAACATTTGTTCCACATTTTCATGTTTTTGAAGATCTGAATGTCTGATTGCTTTTGATTTTAGAGCCTTTTCCTGAGTAAGTCAAATCTCTGCTTCTAATTCCAAATTTGTCTACATACTATATTCGATTCTGTTTCATTCAAAATCCTACATGTCAAAATAAATCGTCGCAGACGATAAATAGCTCTAGCAAGTAATTGGAGTTATGAAATGCCTTCGGAACGAATTTCCCATTTTCGGGACTTATAGCCATTCTAATGATTAAATTAGCGAAAAAACTGAATTAGAGCTTTTTATCAGTGTCTAGTTACTGTTCAACCTAGTCACTCTTTGAAATTCGTTGGAGTTTTTTTGACATGGAGTAAATTTGGAAAATAAGAACAATGATGTCTTGAATTTTTAAGATGATGTCAAAGACAATCTCCATTTTACTATGACATCAGTACATCATCGACTGAAATGACAAGCGGTATACAAAAAGTAAAGAAGATAGAGCAAAGTTTTCCCTTTTTTGCTTTGAAAAAAAAAACGCTACAATTCCTAAGCAATTGCTCAGACTTGAAATAACAGGATAACGGAATAACATCACAAATTTTTCTAGATGCAATGACTTTTGGCAGAGGGCAAGTTCCACCTGCTAAGCGTTTGAAAAATTGAAAGCCTGTACGTATTCTGTTTTGTTTTAGTTTTTTTCCTTTATGTATGATGATCGTTCGCAACTATTCACAAGGTTCATTATTCAAATTTACGGCTAAGCTTCACGTAACACAGACAGGCATATATTGTGCTATCCAGAAATGCACAATAACACTATACAATCAATCACAGAGAGGTTTCAGCAAGCGAAAAAATTTAGATTTGTCCAGAAATCCCGGTTGGCATTCCACTTACACCGGGTGGTGGTGGTCGAGGATGTGGCGAAGTAGCGTCGTCATTGTCTTCATTCGAATCTTCGCCGCTTTTGTCTCCACTTGAATCATTCGATGCTTTAACCGTTACACGAGTTGGTGATTGACCAACAGTCGTTGTTGGTAGAGCCTCAAAAAATTTTGTTATTCCGAATTTGGATAATATGTCAAAATATTACCTCAGTGTGAGGAAGTACAAGCGCCAAGCACACAATAGCAACAAAGATCACAGCGTATTTCTGAATGAGGAGAATTATGCAAATATATGGTTGTGCTACTAAAAAAATTTTTTTTCGTGATCAGTAGATAAATCTCACCATAGTAGCGGAAGTTACGATAGCGAACTGGCAGCCATATGACCAGATCCCGCTGGTTTAAATACGCCATGTACGTCAATAACACCAATTAGTAGAAAAACTGAATATCTAGAGCAACAGAGCGTGCATGAGGGATCAAAAAAGCCTGTTGAAATCGAGAAACTAAACCAACCTTCAAAATGCTGCTAGTAAAAATTCTCAGTTAAAGGTAAAGAAATCGAAAACTATTCATTTTGTACGGATTTGCACATCTTTGACTTCAGGGAAAAGATGGGCATTTCTATCAACAATCGCTTTAGTTTCTAATAACATTTTTTTTGTTACACCTTCACTTTTCGCCGCAATAACTCCTGACTTCTCAATTTGATAAGGATTCAGGGTACCTTTTGGTGGAGCAAAAAAACCTCTACAAGAAGGCCTGTAAAAGATTGCATCCTTACTGCATTCTAACTTACAAGGGAATGGTCAGAAGTCGAAGTGGCCAAACCAAACAAGCTGTATATCATTCGATGCAGTATAAAACGCTGATTTCAAATCTGTCTTCCTTATCTGCTTATCGCTTCTGTGGACGAAGCTACAAGCGGTTTTGTTGTGGAAAAATCATACATAAAAACAGCGAAATTGAGCACATTGTTGCACTTTTAGCCCAGCATTAAGGTGAACGCGGTACTCTACGGCTAAATTTTCAATTTCACGCATAATTTCTTAGCAAAGTAATGGTTTTTAAGGGCTTATAGCTCCGTCCAGAAAAGCGATAAGCAGGTAAAGAAAACAGATTTAGAGTCAGCGCTTCATGCTGCATTCAATGGTATGCAGCTTGTTTGGATTGGCCACTTCGATTTCTGACCATTCCCTTGTTAGAAGTCCAAGTTCGAATTTTAGGTGCGCAAAAATGGGAAAAATTCATATAAAAAATTTTTACACATCTCCTACATTAGACACTTTTGCCGTACTTTTTCTTCGGTGAGAAATCGAGGAAATGACGGTTTTCCTGATTGTACCAGCTATGCTGTGCTTTCCACGTAATTGTTACTGCAAGCCTTTGAAAGTACGAATTAAAATTCTTGGCTGCCTGCAAGCTCTAGTTCTCAGAAAATATTGAATTTAGAACACCCTAGTAAGGAAAGCTAAATTCGATAATATTTGAAAGCTAACGCTTGCATTGGAAAATTTGGGATTGCTTTTTTGTAGGCTTGTAGTGTACAATTACTTATGTGGGAAGAGCACCGCATAGCTTTGGTGAATTTATGAAAATTTTGTTTTTTCGTTTTTCAGAAAAGAAACAGCAACGTTATATGTGAGTGTTTGATGTAGTGTTCATGCTTGTGCAAGTGAAAGATCTGTAGCCACTTTTTGGACGAAAACATGAATTTTTCCCATTTTCGGGCGCAGAACTTTCCAGATTTAGGCCTTGAACTTGAGGTGCTCTAAAAACCGTGCAAACCCTAACATGCTTTCGTGCAGGGGTTTCCTCCGCTCCACCAAAGGTACCCTGTATCCTTATTGAAATAAGAAGTGTAGGAGTTATTGCGGTGAAAAGTCAAAGTGTAACAAGACTTAAGTTACAAATGAAGCGATTGTTAGAAGAACTGCTCATCCTTTTCCCCAAAATCAAAAATGAGCGAACCCATACAAAACGAAAGGATTATAGCTCTTGCCGTTGTGGTTCCGAATTCTTCAGATTCTAACTGAAAAGTTCTGCTAGCAGAATTTTTGAGATCTTTTACTCAACATGCCATTTTGTAGAGCTTGCTTTCCCTATCAAACAGCACCTTGAATCCTTTTTGAAATAAGAAGTGAGGAGTTGCTGTGGTAAGAATTTGAAATGTAAACAAGACTGTGGTCAGAGAGACATGTTGCACAGTAAGCTAGTCGTTTATTGGAAGAAAGGTAGAATTGGCAGGTAGTGTGAATTTTGAAGGAAATTCAAAGCACGCATGTGCGTGCACAACATATTCAAATCAAGTTATTGGCTTGTGCTTTTCCACAGCAAAGTCAAAGGATAGTACATCAAGCGCAGTCATATGTTCCAGGCACATCTTGAGCTCCTTATTTGAGTGTGAAGAACTATAATACATTTTTGCATACGGTTCAACTCAGACTTTCGGAGATGTCTTGTAAACTTCCGAGATCTCGTGTCTGCCTAAAAAGCAACTAGGTAAGCTTGGACTTTCTCTTAACTGTTTTTTTCTTGAGGTCTGTCCAATTAGGGATATGCCAAATTCTGTCACTGACTCTGCTTCCCGCACTGCTAATTTGACAGCTTACTATGGAATTCAGAAATCGAAGTGGCCAATTCAAGCAAGCTGCCTACCATTAGAAGCAGCACAAAACGCTGGCTTCGAATCTGTATTCCACATCTGTTTAGCGCGTGTATGCGAATTTGGCTGTACAGAGCCATGTTCGGGTTAGTGCTTTATCAGAATATGCAGCTAGATTACTTTATATTCTCAAGGCCTGGTGAGCTGAAAGTGCAACAATGCCCGATTTTCGCCATGTGCGATTTTTACGCAAGAAAACTCCACCCATCTTCGTCCATAAAAGCGCTAAGCGGATATGGAATACAAATTTGAAATTAGCATTGAATGCTGCATCGAATGGTAGGCAACTTGCTTGGATTGGCCACTTAGACTTTTGACCATTCGCTTCTTCACACAATAATGTGGTTTTTATCTTATCTCTTTTGTGAAGTGTATGTCTTATCTGCTGCTATTTCAGTGACTCACTCATTTCTATACAGAAAACGCTTTGTGAAAATCACGTGTATACTGGGGAACAGTAAAGTCTATTAAAACAATGTTTCCAGATGCTATCGTTGACCTCTGACCCCTGACATGTGATGCATGAGCATTACGAGCGATTCATGTTGATCCAGCTGAAAAAAAGGAGCATCAACCAAGTTTGAATGTGTGCTTGTACGACTCAAATATCTAGAATCGAGATGATATATAAAATTGTCGTGATTGTCAAATTTCCCTAAATTGGATTGATGCAATATTTTAACCTATATATTCCACTTTTTGTGCATTTGGATAGATGAACTTCAAATCAAATCCAAAGCGCTTGAGATTGATAGGTGCATCTCGAAACGCTGATTCCAAATCTGTGCTCGATATCTGCGAAACGATCTTCTGAAGGAAGTTATGAACTTTTTTTCGTAAAAAATTTGCGTACTTTTGTGCAGTTAAAATCACCAAATTTGTTCCAAGTTACCATTTGAGTCATTGAAGAGAATCTTAAAAGGAATACTGTTGTATTGTATACCTACCTAAATCATATTCACCATTTGAAAAGGACAGAACATTTTTTATTGATAATTTCAACCCTCCGCAGTAACGCAGTCTATTAATGAAAAATTTATCATAACTCCATCCAGGTTCTCGTTTGGCAGATATGGAAAACAGTATTCGAACCAGCATTGAAAGGCGCATTTTTTTGGCATACAAATCATTATGAATGACCGCGGTGACAAAGTATCCTTCCCATGTAAGGAAAACAATTTGCTCTTATATTTATAATCGCTCACTATTAGCAGCTCCTAATATACATTTTTTTGCAGAATGAAATAGACTTCTTTTTAGCTGAAACGTTTTCCTCGTTCAAAATAGGTAAAAAAAGTAGTTATCGAGATGCAAAGTTACCAACTCATACTGCAGCTTGAATGACCGCAACGCAGATTTGAGTGCTTTAATTCTTCTTTTTCTGCTAGATTTCTTTCATTTAATTTGATAGTCAAGTCTGTCATTGTTATCCTTTCATTGTTCACATTCTAGACATCTATCAGTTACACTTTTATGATACTACTATTCTCAAATATTGGATATATGCAGAAAGAAATGACAATCCTGTTGCAAGCGCAGATGTGCGGCTTTGTTTTTCTATTCGCATCAGCTACAACTTCCCCTAGGCAGGTAGGCGGTTGTTGTTTTTTGGTCATTTGAAACAGTTCCAGATGAGCAAAAATTCAAATCAGGAATCACAGTTTGACCGTCTCACAACATTTCTTTCGGATTTGATAGATAAATTACAATGTTTGTTAATTTTGAAAGATGTGCACTTTTTAGAACGACTCCCAGAAAAGCGATGCTCCCGATTTTAAGTTCGCAGCCGAGCCATTTAACGAACAGGTAATTTCCGATAGAGTTCGTTCCTTGGGTGATGCTACTCTAGGAGGTGAATCCGAAGAAGATCACATTGAAGCACTGCTTGATAGCTATACTGATGAAGAAGAACAGCTAGAACAAGAGCTTGTGCTCCAAGATGAATCGACGCAGTACGAGGACGACTATTTCGAAGTGGAGGTACTAACAAGCCAAGAAGAAGACCAAGAAGAGGACGATTATTCACTTTCTATTGTAATAGAACCTGTAGACGATGATTTTGACACAGAGAACCATCAAATTGAAGACGACTGGGTAGTGGATAAAAATCACAATCGAAGCCAATTGATGAAGCATCCGGTTTTAGCCAGTGCAGTGATTTTGTAGATAACCCAGTGAAGCAGGCAGTGTAAATTAGTTATCACCTTTCCTTAAAAAAGATTAAAGCCCCTGAGAACGACTCTTGTAGAGTGAATAAAAACTCTAATTAACAAGTATGATTCAATTCGCACCCTTTCTAAATTTGAATGCAGGCCTTCAACGATAGAACACTGTGAAAGCGCAGTATATCTTATGCTTGTCCCAAAGAGTGACTACGGTATTAGTCGGATTTTCGTAAAATCAAGTGACTGATGTAAGAAGGCGGGGATAGAACCCGAGGTACTCATTATCGCAATCAATATGCTTCAAAACCTATTTGTAATCTGATCCAGGGATGAAAAAAAGCAATAAAACCAATAAAGTGGAGATTTTTCGATTGGCTAGCATGAGTCTCTCCGCCGGGACGTATTACCTGTGCATTTATATGTACACTAAGTTCCCAACAACAGTATCATTCTCCAAAGAATTTGATCTGAATTTTGTGCTTTGTCTACACGCATGGTATACCTACCGTACCATTACATTACGGTACCCCGAGCCCGGACCACTCTCCACAATTATGTATCAAAATCCCTTGATATTTTTCGTAACCTGGCAATGTTGGAGCCTTTAATCTTAAGACACACCGGTGGGTCGTATTGCCGTAGATCTGTCTTGCTAAACGTGCGTAGAGGTTTTTTGATCCAAAAAGATTGGAAAAGATGTGTTTGTCTGTGAATGAAGACAAAATGTGCAGAGAAAGAGTAAACTTGTCTGGTCTAGTTTTATGAATGAAAAGCAGTAAGTTTTAAATGCCAGCTTGACCTTTCAACATTTTAACAACAGTGTGGTCATTATTATGTGAGGACTCAAACGAGAATCAAGATAGAATGCCACTACTGGGTACACGTGAAATTATGGCCCAACTTTCAGGAAGAAAAATCCAACTGCAATTGAGATGTCTCCCTTGACATTTGGAAAGCATCTATGTTGCGGTGGTCTCTCTGGCAATTTCTACGCCAACAGACCAGAGTATATAGTATATCAAGCTCCCGTACAGTTCATGCCTGTTTGGGAACCTGCTGAGGGAGAAGCACGCCAGCAGCAGGCGCGCTTCTCTCCTCAGCAGCGGGCGCATATCAAAAACGCTTGCTGGAGTAAACTTTGCATGCCCCAAACACTTGAAAATTCATTGTTTTCAAACAGGAAAGCTACCTAACTTAGCTCTGCCTTTTGCAAAAAGTCACATGTATTCTGGATCAGCTTCAAACGTTGGTTCCAGATATGCTACTCCTAGCTGCGGCGAACAATTCTAAGCGAATTATGGGCTTTTTCCTGCGCGAAATCAGCATACTCATCGACTCACTGGCATCACGGCATCATTATCTAAGTGCAAATACACTTGTGCTAAACTTCTTCTTAGTGCTAAAAGATTGTGGTTGTGTTTTTTCGACATCTCAGCACCCTTGCAGATTTTTATTTACAGGCAGACTTCCTACGTTCAGTATATGCCAATTTTGCCCAAGGGAAAGCTTATAACTCGCTTTGGAATGGTGCGCGGCAGCTACGAATACCATATTTGGAGTTAGCGTTTGGAGCTGATTCAGGATATATATGTACCTTGCTATAAGGCGGAGCTAACTTAGGTAGCATTTCTTGTAATTTTCTCTTTCTTTCCTTTCGTTCCTCGAAACGCGCCCGAACAGGGAGCTGGTTTAATAACCGCCCCAGAAGCTGATAACCTCGTATTCAGTTCCCACAACTGTGGTTCGTTTAATTGTATTGACGAAATCCGTCTTGTTTGTATATCTCTTTTATCCGGGTGTTGGCTTATTGGCGAAACCACCAAGTACTACCTGATTAGAAGGCAACTGTCACAATAGTCCGAGCGCTTCTTCGTTCATGATATTTTTTATAGTTTGGTAACATGTACATATGAATATTCAGAAATATTCAAAACGCTTTGCTAATTATCGTGTCGTTAGCATAGTGATCGCACAGACTTCTGGTACAATGCAGCATAGATATCAGCTAAGTATTTTGTAAAACTAGATTCATGAGAATATTTGGTACTTTTCCGTTATCCGGACCCATTTTTGCAAAGAAGGATCCTGCTTCTTTTCCTGCACCATGTTTGTTCCCAACTTCATAGTAAAGAGTGTCAACCTTCTGCCACGTGTCAAAAAAATTTGACATGCCACCTACATGTTTAACAAGTTTTACCAAGAGTTCGCGTTGCCCTACCTAGCGACATATGTTCAACCTTTTTTGGTCAATAATGAATTTATAATGAAGCTTCTAAGTGGTTACAAATGCTCTTTTACCTCACCGGAAATGATTTTGAAAAAACGTGTCAAAGTGGACTAGAACGTGTCAATTTTTTCCTGACACGTGGCAGGGAGGCGGTCCTCGTAGAATCTATGAAAATTTGTACATGAACTACCGAACGTATTTTATAAGAGCTTCTTGAAAAAATGGGTCCGGATAACGGAAAAGTACCGATATTTTAGTGATGTGCTCTCCGGAGATATGTAAATTGGTGAGGACATTTTGTAACTTGGGAACAGCTCTTCTGTTACTGGAGCGGAGATGTGCCGTATCAAAGCTGAGATGGAGAACAGTTTCGAGGAGAGACTGTTACTACAGGATGAGGCCTGCGTATTGCAGAATGATTACGATCAGATTGTTTTGATTAGCATTCGATTGCCACGCTGTTAAGCGATGATCACGGTAGCCGATGCATGTTGCCGCAGTCGCCTCTGGACCTCTTCTTTGTTGGCTCATTGCCATCCCTGCGGCTACGAACATTTATGAATAGCGACGGAACGTATAATGACTTGTTCGATTCTCCCTTTTACTACTACTACGTTTTTAGTCCCCAACCGCGTGATTTGCTCCTACCCTTGATGAAAAAGCAGTGGAGCTGCATGCCCTTCGGATTTAAAGGCAGTGGCTCGGCAAATCTCAACCTAGTCAAATTTCGCTTACCTGGGGTTTATCAATACGCTGATCCCGAAAATCCACTTTTGAAAGCTTGAAAACGGCGAAAATGAGCGTTTTTTAATGCCCTTCCCTTTGATATTGGACGAGTGGAGCAAGGCCGATGACGCTAAATCGTGGCAGGACCCAATGGTTATAGCGTTGCGGCGGGCAGCCTCCAATGGTGAGAAGAAAATTGCCAACTCGTCCAGATGCGTGTAAGATTAGCCTGCGCGTGAGTTTGAGAGCGATTTTGTCGGCAGGGAAAGCATGCTGTGCAACCGGGATTGCACTGTTTTCATAGTTGGGCGATAAGGAACCTACGCGTTAAAATCCCGGGTTTTGGGATTTTGCCGATCCACTGCCTTTAAGGATATTCTAAACTGAATTAAACGAATTCAGCCGCGCTATATTGAATGACATTTGAATTCTACGTTGAAATTAGTAACTGAAGGATCGGGAGAGCAGACGTGCCGTCGTCTAGGCCTTAGCGTCGCAAGGTGGATTTGTTTCGAGAACAATCGAGAATTGTATGCTTATAGGCCAACTTATAGGCTCGCATTGGTAGCACGGGACTGATCTTGTCCCTTCTTTCTTTAGTATTTCACATCAAGGATTTTGCAAAGTAGTTTCGTAGTGGCGTTTTATTGTTTTTAGCAGTTTGGAGTCATTGGGTCAAATCATTCATTGCTCTATTTCTGTCTTGTCGAGCGTTAGGTAATGCAGTAGGCTAGGTATGTAGTTTGTTCTCGGGCAAGCACAAGGATTTGGTATTCTAATGGTAAGTGCCATGCGACCACGAGTCGCCACATGCACTGTTTAATTCTCCTTATGCCGGACCATCTAGACTGCATCATGATTCCAAGGTCATTCAATTTATTATCTATTATCTATTATCCTTTGCTACTCAAAGACGTGATGGAAAGCACGTTTCGAGCAGCAAAGGTCCTGCCGAAGCATCAGTCTTCAAGCCCCTAAAGTGATACACAATCAATACGAAATGCGAGTTCCATGGGTTTCAAAACAGACGCAGAAGATAAGTCGCAAAAAGTAAAAATTCAATTTCCCTTCCAATATGCAACGTACAAAAGTTTTCTATGAGAAGTCATCTTTGAAACGGACGGACAATTTGTAAACCCCCAATTTCCAAAAAAAAACTTTCAAAACTATATTCTGCTATTTTAATTGTTCGAACAAATCAGACATGTTTTCGAAAAAATCACACTTGTATGATTCACACATTGAAAGTTCGAAATTCTAGTCTAATACAAATACCCCAATTAGTGGATTCTAACTTTCATTCCAGCCCGATTATGCCAGATACACCAGTACTTATAGCGGATTCATCGTCAGTGATGGTATTGCCCCTAATTCGAACCTTTAGTGCATGGGCAGTTCTTCTCATGAAACCTGCTCAAATTTCATTCTCTCATTTTCTCTTGGCTCGAAATGCATGAATATGAAGCATGTACACCCTCATTTCATGCAGCCTAATTAAAAATAAAGTTTCTTGCTGTCCATTAGTTATAAGCAGCCCTTGCAGTAGGATATGTTCGAGAGAAAATCTTCTCACAAGCGAGGTCCGGTTAGTCGAAGTGGCCTTTCCAAATGAGTTCTTATACCATTTTGAAGAGCAACAAGCGCTGATTCCAAATCTGATTTCTTTATCTGCCAAGATTGCCAAAATGAATGCACAATCTAGGTAAAATCTTAACTAGATCATGCGTTTGCGGAGCGCTTTTACGGCCTTTCAGGGCTCAAATAAAACTGCTCTGATAGTCAACATTTGACCATTTGATAACTTCTAATGAATTTTGTGCTGATTATGCATTTGATTTTTCAACCCAGAGGGCGCTTATACTGACGTCCAGAGGCACTTGGCAGATAACGACGACAGATTTGAAATCAACTTTCGATGACCTTTATAGTCGTATCAATCTCATGCGAATATGCCACTTCGGCCAAACGGAAGTCCCTTGTCAGAAAGCTACGAATTTTCTGTCCCTATTTTTTTCTATGGCAATCCGTTACCTTTACCAGACGAAATTTTCTTCTGTATATTTCGCAGTAAAGGAAATGAAACAACATTGCCTGAACTCCAGTTTTTTTTAGTCATTTCCCAAATCCTCCATTGCTGCAACATGTTTTCACACCTTGAATATTGCAAACAGTTTGCTTTAATTCAACTCTAATAAGAATCACTGAAGAAAACGTCATAAAGACGCTGTTTAATCGAGAACTATACCCGCAGGGTTGTGAAAGCTGAGTTAAGAGAAAGTTTAAACAGTTCAAACAACAAAGAAAATTTTGATTGATTATTCTGTTTCTTGCATTGCTCAACAATACAAAATACTATATTTTTGGTTAGTATAACGACTATACTGCTTTATTTTACTTTTCCTTGCAGATGATGTTATATGCGCTATTTTTCCTATTCGCATCAGCAGCAGCTCTCCCTTTAGAGGTAGGTTTTCATCCCTATTCATATTCAAGAGTAGCAGAGATAAACATCATCTGGAAGTCGCTGTGATTAAAATTATAAGAATACGGTAAATTTGTCGCAAAAAATACCTCGAAAAAGCAGAAATTTCCTTTGTAGAATGGATACTGTCATGGTTTTTTAGGTTTGGTTTTTTTTGAGGGCACAGCCTTTTGTACTAGCGTAGTCTTGTAAAAATTTCAAGCGTGCGATCCTGATGCCTGAATAATTCATTTATTACTCAATTTGGCTGATACTGATTTAGTTGAAAAATAATTTGGGATTATACGAATGATCCAACAAAGGTATGATCCTGAGCTCAATGTTTTCTTTGCAGAATGCAAACGACGCAAACCAACCAGTGCTAAGCGATGGGAGTAATAGTGAGCACAAGAAAGAAAAATGGGAGTTTGGATGGTTCGGCCATGGTAATTTCAATCCGGGTTACGAAGGCTTCCGAAGAACCGAAGAAATGACTGAAGGTTCCGGTGAAGGCCCACACCACAGAGGAGAATGGGACCCACGATATGGTGGATGGCATGAACATGGGCTACACCATGGCCATAGACTTCCAGGATATGGATATGGTCCACGAAATCACTGGGACTCTGATGAAAGACCATTTGGCGATCATCGCCGTGGACATCCTCCACCACCTCCTCCAGGACATCCTCCACCACCTCCACCTGATGGAGAACATCCTCCTCCACCTCCACCTGATGGAGAACATCCTTCTCCTCCTCCTCCTCCTGATGGAGAACATCCTGCCCCTCCTCCTGGCGATCATTCTTCCCCTCCTCCTGAGGAACACCCTGCTCCTCCAGAAGGAGAAAACGCGCCAGCTCCAGAAAAGAGTGAGGAATAATTGCTTTTGCAATGCTGATGTGAATAAACATGTTGTTGAACTGGTTGCCTCCTGTTCTGGGATATTCAAAAATCTTTCAACATTGCCTACGAAACTGTCAATCATTTGATGAATTTACCTTTGAAAACATGCACTTTTGGTTATTATATGTACAGAGAGAAGTATCACAAAATTCAATCGACGACAGCAGCAGAATTTGTATCAAATTTGTTGAATCAAATTCTCACAGATCACCGTGAAGTGGTTATGAGATTGATACAGTTCCAAGCTCTTAAGAGACTATGAAGATATATAAAAATTGACAGTGAAGATGTAGCATGAAATCAAATTTGTAACTTTCAGAAACATGATTGCCTTGTTTTCTGTCTCAATGGTTTCAACTTCTTACAAATTTCTTGCAGTACTGATCGAACTACTAGTCTGGTGATTTGAATGGCAGTACAGGCAATCAGGCATTCATTTTTACTCTAAGGTTTGGATTCGAAAAAGAAACAAAAGAACAAAAGATTGCAAATCCCTCTGAATTCGAGTTTCACAGTTATGACCATTTTGAATTGGAATTGCAAAGTATACGATATGACAGAAGTGTAAACAGGTTTAAACTTCAAGGTTTCTCTGTTTAGGTACAATACATGTTTCTCGGCAACGATGTGAAAATAGGCAAACGCAGATTTTTTCGAAGTTATTTATTTGAAGCCATGCAATTGTTACGCTGAGACATGCCTTCATTACATAAATAATTATTTGGCATTAACAATTCTAACTTCATGATAAAAGATTGAGTCCCACCAGCAAAACTTCATGATCATATTGTAAAAGGTCGAGGTGATCAAGTTGATTAGACTACGGGTAGATATTTTCTTCTAAGCAATGCTATGTTTCCATTATGTAGTGACATAAGTTTGCAGGAAAGTCTTACTTGAAAGCTTCACTTTATCTTCATCCATGATTCTTAGAGAGTTCGAAAATATTTTTCAAAGCAGAATACAATAAGTTAAGCATAACCAGTCCATTCTAAAGTGATTCGAATAGTACAATCAATGCTGACGGAAAAGATCGAAATGTCTTTCATTGTGCCTCTATGGGAGCAATATTTTTAGCAGGTAATCAATACTCTGTAAAAAAAATTTCTGCTATTATACACCGGCCTCCCGTTTTGAGTTTTATTGAGAGGACCCTGCGTTTGCTTAAATATGTTTGGGTTTTGAATTAGCAATTCACTTTTCTTGCAAGAGAAGGATACTAGGGCAGTGGCGAACCGAAATAATATGCACATCATTAGATTCGTGTTGATAAACTGACTGCAGATCTACCATCCTTACCTACTAATCGAAGAAGTTATGGGCGGTTAGAGATGTAAAGTTATTGTGTGTTGGTGCGTAATGTGCTTGAAAAACCAGCTTGAATGTGAATATCTGGCATAATTTTGAGTGCACTGACTACAAGGAATGCTACATACACCGAGTACAAGAATGAATGTTTCTGAACAAGTAATTCTTAAAGATGTGGTACTGTATGTTTGCCAAATCTGGACTTCGCTCAAAGCGTCTTTTAGAGAAGAGCTCAGGTAGATATGGAAGTTATATTACATTTGAATGTAACTCATCAAGAAGCATTTAATGGTATGCCTATTGATTCGGTTAGCCATTGCTATGTGGTATCCTCCTCTCGTTAGCAAATTTTGATATTCTTAGGTACTAGCTACTTTAGCTACTTTAGCTTGCTTTAGTAACTTTAGCTACTTATGCTACCGACAGATAGTGATAGCTGTGGAGATCTTCTCACGGGGAGAGAACATACGGGACAACTGTGGAATGTGTATCACTCGAAGTACACCCGAGCGCTGCTTTCAAATCTGTTTCTCAAAATGTGAAACGAGTCTCCAAGAAAAGTTACAATCATTTGAAACTTTAAATGTGTACATCAAAAGTCAGCCCAAGGGAGCAATCAACATCATGGGAGATAACTGCAGAAAAATATGCTCGAATGTTAGCGAAATACAGGGTGTCCGTGAAGTATGTATGCACTGTTTGATCGTTTATATCTCTTTTCCCAAGAAGTCTTTTGCCTTGCTTCAGACACCATTTTGTAGACCTGGCTTCAACTTAGATTTACAGTACGAATCACCCAACTCTCTTCATTTCTGTAGGATTACGGTGGAAACTTCAAAGAGGGTTTTGAGCCATGAAAGGCCATATTTTGCCTCAGAAAAGAAACAAAACAGCCTGAAAACTTTTACACTAGGCTAATTAGAGTTGCTGATTATAACTGTAAAGTTCCCAGCTTGTTATGATGCTTCATTGAAGAGTTATGCCAGGTAAGAGGTAGCGGCCATTTTTTCAATGTTCTTAATTAGTGCGATTAAACCGTTTAGAAAGCTTCGTAATCCTGTGAATAGTTCAGTACTGAACTCAGCGTCCATAAGAACCCTATTACACATGTTTTCACATTTTTTTGAAAAGTTTTGAAAAGGCAGCTTTTTCCACATTGACACCATATGTTTCAAGTTTCTACCGCAATCCTACATTAATGAAGAGAGCTGGGTGATTCATTCTGTACTGTAAATCTTAGTTGAAGCCAGCTCTACAAAATGGTACCTGAAGCAAGGCAAAAGATTTCTTGGGAAAAGAGATATTAAAGATCAAACAGTGTATGCATACTTTACGGACACCTCGTATTAGCGAGAGAGAAAGGAGGTTTTCGAATCGCTTTCCGTCATATCACAAAACACCACAACTCTATTTTTTCAGTAGTACAGTGTGTCCCAAAAATGTATCGAACGTTTGATCTCAAACAACTTCCGTACATGGAAAGCTTTCTCGGATCTTTGAGTGTCATGTGGTAGAGCTGGGTTTAACTTAGATTTACAGCTTAAAGCGAATCTTAGAATCCTCTTAGTCAGTGTAGGATTACGTTAGGAATTTGGACATTTTAAGCTTTTGACAGGCGAGAACTGCTTCTAAAAAATTCCAGAAAACCGAAGAACGTTAAAGTGAGGTTTTCGGGGATGCTGAATCTAATTACAAAGTTTCTCGCCACCGTACTTCTCATCTTCCTACAGCATGCACACTGTAACGCTAAATTTTCCTTTTTTTGCAAAATTTACCAAACCAACGTTGCAATTATAATACAAACAAGTCGTGAAAACCCTTCGCGTAAGCCAAAGCGTTACAGTGAGCATACCCTAGGAAGACGAGGAGTACCGTAGCGAAAAACTGCGTAATTAGACTTACCATCTTCCAAAACTTCAGTTTAACGTCCTTCGGTTTTTTTGGAATTTTTTTAGAGCAGTTCTCGCCTGTCAGAAGCTAAGAATTAGTCCAAATTCCTACCGTAATCCTACACTAACTAAGAAGATTCTGTGATTCGCTTTAAGCTGTAAATCTAAGCTAAACCCAGCTCTACCGCATGATACTCAAAGGTCCGCGAAAGCTTTCCATATAGGGAAGTTATTAAAGATCAAACGTTTGATACATTTTTTTGGGACACCCTGTATACATTTCTTCTAGGTAATGATTAACCCACCATGCAAATCAATTATCTGTAAACGACCGTAACTTTGCTAACGGACGGAAGAAGTGAGAAATCATGATTAAACCTGCTTGGTTCAACAAAATTGAAATTCTTTATTTTGAAAGCGCAATGATGCAATTGTTCTTCTACATCTGTTGATCTAGTACGCTTGAATTGGTGATAATGTATAAATATCGTGACTCATACCGAGCATTTCCCGACGCATTAGCATATTTATCAGTTCAGCTGCTGCAAAATCAACATAACGTGACCTCCCACACTATGCTGACAGTTCGCGGAAATGGTATAAAGACTAGATCGCTGCTCATAGCATCAGCCCTTCATTCCTTATCTAACTTCATAAGCACATACGTGCAATGTTTTAGCTTTCTAGGAAATTATTGATTATGTTGTAATAAATGTTCCTTCCAATTTTCTCAAAAGTCTGATGCATACTTCAAAGAAAAAACTAAAAAAACTTGCTTCAAAGCGTGTAAAATTCTTTGATTCAAAAATTCGTGTTTATCAAAGTACCGGAGCTTTTTGAGTTATTGTTTCACCCACTCAGAATTCGTTCTATCGTCCTCTACTATTGAATATTTCCACTCTTCACAAGATCATTTCAGATGAAGATTTGTATTTTGGTCTCACTAACTGCCACAGCAATCGCTTTTCCTTCACAGGTGAGACTTTGAACTTCATAGAAAAACTAGTAACATTCTGAGAAAGCAAGGTTAAACATTACACATATGATTTTTTCCAACATTACAAATACGTATTATTTTTGAGGTAGACTACCATTACGTGTAGAAGTCCGCTTTCTGTCACTCTTCTTAGGTTAGCACCATATTGTATACTCTAGGACTCACAATTTGATGACTTTCTAAGATATTGAGACTACGCGTTCTGCATTGAATCAGAAAATTTTCATAGTACACGTACTGAGGGAGAAAATAATTTATCTTGGCAGAAAGAATACTTCTCTTTATCATCCCTATAGCAACCTCACGGTATACATTAGGTCATTTACGACTATTTTTGGTTACCTTCATCTCTTACGCTTATTGCTTATTGTATTTTTTACTTTCAGATCAACTCCGCAAGCAGCGAAGAATCGCTGGCATCGCAATACGAACGTTACAATTTTAATAATTACCAGAATGACTTGAACAACGGCCAAATCTTCCCTAGCAATCCTTTTGGAGGTCAGAATGGAGGATTCCAAGACAATCAAAGACAAGGCATCCGATTTGGAAACCAGGAAGGTTATGGTTACCCCAGAGGATCCCAGCAGAGCGGCGGACGTCGGTTTGGTCAGCAACAGAACGGTAACAGACAGGGTTGGGGACAACAACAGCAGAATGGAGGAAACCCATGGTTTGGAAATCAGCAATTGAATGGAAATAACCAGCAATTGGGACAACAACAGCAAAACGGAGGGTATCCCCAATTTGGGAATCAGCAAGATGGTGCACCTAATCCATTCTTTGGACAAAATCAACAAAATGGAGGGAACTTTAACCCTAGAGATGGACAGGCATTGGAGGGTGGATTATTCCAGGGACTGCAGAATAGAGATTTCCCGATAGGACAAGGAACAGTAAGCGGTAGCTTCCAGCAAGGAAATAATGGACAACCGCAGCAAAATCAGGATCTCAATCAGTTCCCATTCGGCGGCCAATCACAACAAAGCGGTTTTGCATCGAACAATAAGGTCTAGAAATCATACGTCTCTGTAATAAACTTTTACTTCTGTGATTTCGATACCGTAATAAATTTTTGAAATTATCGGTCGTCACTTGATATGACAGACTGCTGAGCTTCAATGTAATAAAGGAAGCTGTTTATGATAATGTAGACTCATACTTGTTCAGGTGATAAATTCAAGATTTTTCTGCATTTGGAGAATTGGGAGATATAAAAAAGTTCTAAAAAGTGAACATATCTAATAGTAAGGTTCACACACCTTTGAAACCTTTGCAAAGGGGAGGCATGGTTCTATGATGGTTTTCTGCTGGCTTGGCGGGTTTGATATAAAATTGACCGGAAATCTCTATCAAAATGAAAACTAACTTGCAATTTTCTGTATCACTTGTACTGTGATCAAAAATTACCAGAAATTATCCAAGTTTCGCAAACTTGGAAAAAACGAAGATTTTTCAAGGGGTGCACTTGATTAATTAGTTTTTTCCGTGTGATTTTACATTCTAGTTGCAGCAGCTATGCAATGAATTCTTTCTTTGGAAACCAAAAATTATTCTATTTTCAGGGCTACTTAATTATCATCCTGTATGTATGCCTTTCAGTAGTGAGGAGCCACAGATGATTTTCGAAGCCCTTTATCGATCTTGAGTGCAAATTGTATGCTAGATAACAGCATCACCTTACCTTGCTCACTCTGCCCTTCTACGCATACGTCATTTTATAGCCGAGTGAGAAAGTAATATTTCAACACACTTCTGGTTCAAGCAGCATCATTTAATAAATAAAAGCGCCAAAACTTGGCTAGTAATCATTATTCAACGACTATCGACTATCTATGGAAGTAGGAGTTGGAGTCATGTAGAATGATGGTAATTTGTTGTGTTAGAACACCGAAAGCTAGCAAAAAGTCTATTGTAAAAATATTCCGTACACGCAGAACTGAACTGAGATGGACTTTCATTCCCATAAATTCGCAACAGAATGATTAGGAAATTCATACACGATAGTTGTAATCATCCAAGAACTAATTTGTTTTCAAATCAAACATGAAACAAATCTGGATATTTTGTAAAGAAAAAATCGATCAACTTCTTAAAAACTGAGGATGTTGCACGGAGCGCAATCTATACAACAACTTCGAACGCCTCTTGAATACCTAAATCTGCCCTTAACTGCAAAAAAATTTTATCACTTTTTCCCCGAAAGTCCCGAGACCGCCACACATAACGCCTATGACTGATCGACCGGTGTACACACTAAAGATTACAAATCAAATAGAGGTGAACAGGGAAACAACCAACCATAAAGGTCACGCATTGCTTTGCCTACTGGCCCAGTTTTCTATTAGGTTATCAAATAATTTCTGCTTCTTTCTAAATTTTCTAGTAATTCCAGAAGCTTTTTGAAACCCCCAAATTTGCAACACGCATAGGACATAGCAGGCTCTACCCACCAGCATGATTGATGCCGCAAGTGCGCTAATGACCAATAAGTTAACGGCAGTTTCGTAAAAGCAGTCAAAGTTTTTAGTTTTTGCCCGATCTTTTTCTCTGCGCCTTCTTATGCTTTTACTTTTCCACATTTGTTTTAGAACGTAATTTGGCACTGTCTCTTACATGGAGGCGTTCCGGTGCCTCTAGCGTTTCAAAAACGAGGGGGGAAAATATCAAAGAATTCAAAAACTTTCCTAAATTCTTCTTTTTATGTGCATTTATAGAAAAGAATATGGAAAACATAAAAATGACTTTTTAAAATTTTTTGAAGACGTTTCCTTCGCAAAAATTCCGATGATTGCAAAGATGGCACACCCTGAGATTTAAACCGCTCATAAAAACGTGTGCAGACAAGGCCCTTCACAGATCGTCTGGAAGCAGGCTGGACTTCGTTTCTGGAACGAAAAGCAAAGGTGGGTATCGTTTTTGACGAGTCGGGGCTAAGCACCAACAATAGGGGACACTTAGTTGAACACAAGCGTTTCGGACAGGTTATCACACGATTGACATGCTCTATCGTGTACGGCGAGTGCGTGCGATTTGAAAGCAAGATTAAAATAAACAATTTGTTTGTTTACAACGCACACAGAAGCATATGACACCAAAATTGAACTGTATACATAGAACATTATTTGCGAAAGAAGTATGCAAAAAGATTTGAGAACTTATGTGAAGTGTTTACTTTTTCAACATTAGTCCGTCTCCAGACAGTCACCAAACGATCTGAGATCGTCTGGAGCATATATTAGGTTGGCCCGAAAGTTCTTTCGCATCAAATTCAAAATTCATAACTTCTGATTTTCCCAACCAATTGGACTGCTTTTATTTTCGTATTAAAGAGTAAGTCATGCTCTTTATAATGACATCTTAAGATCTTACTAATGATCATCTGTTGCATAGATAGGAGCGATAGAAGAAATTTGGTCAAAATTCGAGTTTTTCAGGGTCATAAAAAATCGGAAACTTGCAACAAAAATCGGAGCAGTCAGTTTTATAGGTTCTGTTACCTGCTCTTTCTAACAGCGCAAAGTTTGCGCTGATCGAGCGTTTCCATGAAAAGTTATGGTTTTCGAGCAAGCAATAGAAAAGGGCGAAATTGATTTATTTTGGCATTTTTCAGGAAAATCGTAACTTTTCATGGAAACGCTCAATCAGTGCAAACTTTGCGCCGTCAGAAAGAGCAGGTAACAGAACCTATAAAATTGACTGCTCCGATTTTTGTTGCAAGTTTCCGATTTTTTATGACCCTACACGAAAAATTCGAATTTTGACTAAATTTCTTTTATCGCTCCCATCTATGCAACAGATGATCATTAGTAAGATCTTAAGATGTCATTATAAAGAGCATGACTTACACTTTCATACAAAAGTAAAAGCGGTCAAATCGGTTGGAAAAATCGGACGTTATGAATTTTTGAATTTGGTGCGAAAGAACTTTCGGGCCAACCTAATATCTCTGTCATTTCACATAAGTTTTGGATTTCCCTATCATGGACGGGATTCCCGGTCAAAAATTCATCCCTGAGCATGAAGACATTTTCATATCGTTGCCTTTCCTTTGTTTTTTTGCCTTGATTTTCTTCATAAATCGCTTTGTTAAATATCGCGCTCCAATGCCAAACTCTTGTGCATGCACAGAATTGAGCTCCAAATTGGATTTTCACTCTTATCTTATGTTTTTTGTTTCAGACTAGTAAAACTTTCTTGTTTTGATCTTCTCCTAAGCAAGTAAGTCAAAGGGGACTTCGTAAACTTCCGAAAGTCAAGGGAGGCTTCGTTTTCAGAAACCCTAGAAACCGACTCGTGCCGGGCCCTGTTTCCCCATGCTATAAGAATGCAACGTCACCTGACATGTGAGCCTCAGGTTAAGTTTGGCAGGGAGATCATATCCTTGCCGAGTAATGGGAGATTATCAAAGCGATGATATCCCAAAATAGACAGGAGAGCCAGAGAAAATTTCCGTAAGTTACTCCTGGATAACTTATGATACACGTCATTCCAACACGCCAACATACTGAGTGAGGAGCCACAGTGCAGGCTGACGATCTTCAACAAGATCTAACGAGTGTGACCACATCTCGGCCGCAAGTACCAATCACAAAGACGCGAAAGTTTGGCGAACGCATTTTGACTTGTATACTTGCATGAACGTGGCTAACGCAATCATGTCAACGTGGATGGTTGAAATTATCAATCAATTGCTCAACTGAGGCAGAGCTGACTCGTCGAAGCCTTAACTGAAACTTTCCTATTTGAGATTGATTGAGGCAGCGTCACTATAGGCCATAGTCATGTAAGATGAGCGGTAGAGCTCATATTGAACTGCCGCATCGTGCTGTGATAAGGACGTTAGGAAGCGAACCCAATAGTGTCGGAATCAAGAGAGGGGTAAGCCAAGACGTAACCGAAAAGTAAATTTTCAAAAAATTATTTTCGTTTCTTAATTTGAACAGCGGGAAAAATCCAGCAGGTATATTTACAAAATTACTATACTTATGTTGCATGACGACTAAGTTAGAGATCACTAGAAACTTTTTGGAAGAAGATCCGACTTCTAATAGTTGGAAATTTTTAGTTTTTGACTTCGAACTTTACAAAGATTACGACTCAAGTGGCAGTGGTCAATACGTAGAGGTTTTCGCTGTGTCGAATAAAACAGTTTGCTAAGAAAAGGAAAACAAAGGCAGTTTCATTTGATCAAAAATGTTTTACTTACGGGACAGCGTAATAATTTGCCTCATTTTGATGCATGGATAAAAGCTAATCAGAGCCTTTTTGCCAGAGAAAAATCAGAAGGCAATAATTTTGGTTGAAACCGTCTCAATTAAGTTTTCATAATACATACCAACTAGCACATCTTTACATTATCATGTCTGCGTCTCATGAAATGAGATGTTATTTCCATTACTAATAACCGAGGACTCGGCTCCAGCTGGAACCAGGAAGATTTCGAAACCCCCTTCGATTTTGGAAAATTTTCCCTTTGACTTTTACCTTTCCTCTTCATTACTTCTCACTTGTCTTTGCTTGTGCTGTCGCTTTTAGAATAGAAAAAAGGCCGGAAGCTTCCGCGTTTATTATTTAGGAGAGAAAAATTCAAAAAATTCATGGTCAGAGCCTGAACATACCGGTTCAGCACTTATCTCCTCCCCTTCACATCGGCTAGGCCTCCTGCAGAGTTTACGCAAATTCATCGCCTCGCGATTCTTCCAACAACACAACTATTACAACGTCTTGGCCCGTAGTAATCCACCCCACTTGTCTGCATAAGACATGTCGGCGACCTCGCGAACCTCATGACAAGCTCATGTTTTGGGCGTGAGGTTCGCGAGTTTCTGTAGCCTCTCGGTTTTACTGGTAATCACAGTGCACTGAAAAGTCGACCGCAAAACCATCGCACATGCTGTGATGGAACTCTCCTTTGACCAACGAGAGTCAGCACATTAACCTGTTGAACTACACGTGCACATTTCCACTCATTCTAGGGAGCTTAATGGAACACACCGTCATCTTGCATTGACATGTTTATTTGAGTGTTTTCGGGTTGGAACGAGAGCCATCATTACGAAGCAATTAGTGATAGTAATACTTTGACTAAAGTGGTAAACAGCATGACCTCATACAGCGTCACGGACCACACCAGAATCATTTGAAGGAGCATGCCACCTTTCTTTCAACAGTTTGGACTACATTCCTTTTCCAATCTTTTATAGAGGTATAACTCTGGGAGTATATACAAGTTCTTTATGTAATTTGATCATTACATACACTTAAATCGTTTTTCTGATGCTTCCTTCATCGTCCGCCTCTCAAGTTTTTTCTAAAGTTGAAGTAGCATACAGAAAAAATGGAAGAATGTTTTTTTCCGAAATGGTCCACAGAATTTTCTCTCTCTGCAACTATCAGTACAAGAATTTTTGATTTTGATCGACTTTTAAAATATTGTTGAAACAAATTTAACAGTTCACTTGGTGGATGCAAGGACACTGTGAACAATGAGCAAATAGAAAAGTTACAAATACATGAAAATTGAATACCTCAAAAATCTATTCAAAATCTTAACTGAAAAAAAGCGTTTATAAAGATGAGACAAATGTGCAAGTGCTTTTATCAATTAGAGGTGGGTGGGGTGGGGGGGGGGGGGGTAGGGTGGCACCTTAGCCCTCTGGCATTCGTTGCGTGCCAGCGACCTTCCTACATGGGTGCACCAGCGGTGTTCCTTTGCGCACTGCCAGCGGCGTACCGTTGTGACGACGAGCGGCGTCCTATCGTAGCAAGCAGGCGAAGGCTGCCTTAGCATTTACGTAGCTTGTTAGCAGTTCTTGGTTCTTGACAAGGAATAAGATCACGTAGTGTTGTAGTGATCATGACCCGTTTTCAATTCAATGGAGTCTGTCAATCGAAAGAGTAAGATTTTTGCTCTCATACTGGTTTTATGAAAATCATCGAAATGGCAATTTCCAACCGGCTAATGCTGGTTGCTATTTGCAATGCGATCAGTCCAGAACCAAATCGGGTGAAGCTGCTGTTCTCTAAACATCCTCGTGACGTACCAGCGGCGTAAATTTCTCCTGCGAGCGGAGTTCTGCAGCGTACAAGCGGTGCACGACTGCCCCAGCGGCGTCTGTTAGGGCAGTCGCGCGTGTTCCGCTCAAGATAGTATCGAACGCCTCTGGTAGCTTGAAAAATAATAAACAAGGGTATACTTACCCTTTACAGTATCTGCTTACTTTGCCTAGCTCTACATTCTTTCTAGCGAAAGTGCCTGACAGCCGATTTGATATCCTTACCAAGCCATATACTGACAGCCACATGCACATTACCTAAAGCAATACAAATCATAAGTAATACATGATGTGAACTTTTACAGTTGTAGAGTGTCTTTGCCAATGGGTGCGATTGCATAATTTTCAGGATTTTGCTCTAGCACGCAAGTTTCAAGTACTCAGCCATGGCTTACACAAACAACAAAGAAAACAAGGAAAAACACAAGAAAAACACAGGATTCCCATACCCAACCCTATAGTAGTGCAATTGTACATTAACAAAGACCTACTCAACGGTATGATTTGTGCTCATGCATCAGCTTTGCACAAGCAATCGAACGATGAAGAATGCGAGATGCTTACAGATTTCAAGGCCAGTATGCATGAAAATTTCTGCTCCAAGAGGAGCGGCATCCTTTGTTTGAAATCACATAGTGGTACTCCAGCTCGCCCCATTTTACAGGTAGTCCTCGCTTGCCCCACATTTCCTGCATACGGGCATTGGAACCAAGCTAAAAGACCGCAGCCACAGAAATTATCTGTTCAAAAGAAGAAGGAACTTTGAGAAATGCTCAAAAAAGTGAGATCTTAATTTCGCAGGGACAAGTGTTAAGGGTGAAAGTGACCAAGTAGCGTCTCTTCAGAAGCTACAATTCAAATGCAACGATTAAAAAAAGAAAACGCCAAAGAAACTCACCGGTATGTGCTACAAGGCCTCGCAAATACAGACGAGGCAACCAATAGCTGGAGCACGGGGAATCAGATCTAAAAAAGAATTGAAGATCAAAGTCTATTCATAGAAAACATGAAAAAATACCGTCGAGTGGTTGGAAAACGATGGCTGATGTGAATTGATACTTAGAAAACTCCTTGCTGATTTGCGAGCTCGACTGAAAGGAAGAAGGGATAGCAGTAAAGGTCGTACTTGCATGTACTACTCAGAGTTTTCTCAGGTAGTGCCCACGTGCCAGCGCCGTGCTGGCACCGTGTCAGGTTATGGTGGACCACCCGTAGAGACCAACCGATGTCTCTGCACGGCGTTGGCCCAGCGCTAGCACGACGTTAGCGACGAAGACACTCTAAAAGCAGCCTAAATCGCTAACATATAACTTTATTCAAAATGTGGATAGCATTCTCTCGGATGAATTCGGAAAAGAAGCATGGCAAACTAAACAAAAGAACCAAAATAGTTATTAACTAAGTTCAAGTTTCAAAAAGTAAGTTAGCCGCTAACAACAATTGACCAGAATCGTGCAAGTTCAAAAATGTCTTGAAAACCTGCCCGAGCATACAGTGAGAAAATAAACATATTAACTCACCTTTCACTTTTGGTCTAAACGACTGCCGCCCGAGTAACTGACTTTCAATCAATCACCTTCAGATACTCTAATTAGTTCACCAGCAATAGATGGGTACCTGCAAAGATGGTGGTCAGCTGCTGACATCAATTAACAGTGCCGCTATCATTAATTAACTGTTAAGAGCAAAGCAGTTACACTTAGTAATTTTAATGATAATTTGCATTCAATCCGAGCACTTTTATTGATCACCTCCAAAGAACCAGAAACTGTGCAGCTGCACGGTTTCTGTATGGGTTGGTTATGGGGTCCCTTCGACTTTTATGAGTAACAGGGCCTACACAAGTGTTACTCATCATCAGCGTAACATGACCGCAAAACGAACGCTGAAGAACGAGTAATACAAGCAGATTTCAAGACCATATGCGCAAAATCCTCCCCCCCCCCCCCCCCCTCCTTAGGGATTTTGCGGCAAGGTAGTTAACACCACCACGTGAATTCCACAATTAAAAAATAAGGTTTACCATAATTTGAAAACATACTTTTAATAACACTTTCAAATCTGGACTGTTGCGAAGTCTCTCCCTCAGATGCTACACTTAACAGCAACATGAGAAAAAGAAACTTTGAAAAGAGACCCACCAGCATCTGCAACAAAACTGAAAAACGAATGTAGACGAACACAACCAAGTCATTACAGATACAGCATGAAGAGATAAATAAGAAAGAAAGGAAAATCCAGCACTCTGCAATCTGAGATGTAGTACATATCAAACAAACTAGAAGAAGCAGCGGAAGTTTACCTGAAGTTGATTGATATGAGAATAGAATGACGTATGTACTAGATTCCCATAGGTTCCAACCGGTAAAGCAAATTTCGTAGCAGCAGAAGTTCTGAGAAGAGATTTGGAATGAATTCCGATGCCAGAAACTGTAAAGGCAAACAATTAGAAACAACTGAGGCCTAAACATCTGACACCAATGAAATATGCTAAAACTCACCTGTATTACTTTAATCGTGTGTAGTCGAAACTCTTGAAACATAATCATATGGGCAGTTGAAATGAACAGAAAAAAGGGCTATTTTCTCCCTTTCTAAAGATGAAGAATAGTGAAAGAGAGAAAAAGAAAGGGAAGAGATTGCTCACTTGATCTTCATAATCGAACCAATCCTATTTCGGCTTCGATTGGCGAAGGAGACGCTTATTACGTAAACTTATAACTTGTCCGCCGCTACCAGGGAAAGCAGTAATGCCTTAAATATGACCTTTGTTAAACCAAAATAATTAATATGACATGAAGATGAGAGATAACAATGAGAAAAATGTGTCGGCTTGAATGATGACACATACCTCCATGCCAGGCTTCATTATCCTCCGGATAGAATCGTCTACAGGGCCCGGCACAGATCGTCTGGAAGCAGGCTGGACTTCGTTTTTGGAGCAAAAAGCAGAGGGGATTTCGTTTTCGACGAGTCGGAACCGAGCACCAAGAATAGTCGCCATTTAGTCGAACACAAGCTTTTCGGACAGGTCATCACACGATTGACATGCTCTATCGTGCATGACGAAAAGTGCGCGCGATTTGAAAGCAAAGCTAGAATAAACAAATTGTTTGTTTACAGCGCACACAGAATCATATGGCACCAAAATTGGACTGTATACTTGAAAAATTATTTGAGGAAGGATTATGTAAAAAGATTTGAAAACTTATGTGAGGTAATACCTTTTCCAAAATTAGATCGTCTCCAGACGGCCACCAGACGGTCTGAGATCGTCTGGAGCATATATTTTCGTCACTTCACATAAGTTTCGGATCTTTTTAGCATGGACGGATTCCCCGGTCAAGAATCTATCCCTAAGCATAGAAACATTTTCATATCACTCCCTGTCCGTCGTTTTTTACCCTCTTCTTTTTTCGAAAATCGCCTTATCAGATATCGCGCCCTAGCGTCAACATTCCTGCATCCTCTCCATTTGAATTTCCGTTCTCAGTTCTAGCTTTTTTTCAATATTTTAATGATTTCTCCCATTCTTATTTCATCTTCTCCTCCTTTCTTCGGCTCGTGACCTATCTTGATCGTTTTGTTACCATGTAGGGCTTTATGAAACAAAATTCCGTGGATTTCGTGGTTTTTATTTGAGAATTTGACCTGAAGTCGCGAGATTCTCAGCTCGCAGCAAGTAAATGGTTTTGTCAAGAACCACATAGATGAGTATGCAAGGATTCACCAACAGGAGGGGGGGGCGGGTAGAACAAGGGTCAAAGGGGACTTCGTAAAATTTTCGAAAGTCAGAGGGGACTTCGTTTGCAAAAAGCCCAGAAACGGACTCGTGCCGGGCCCTGATCGTCTAGCATGCTCTAACATATGGATATTTGGCGGCTTCGTTTCCTGTCTTACTAGCCTAAAAATTGATGAGTTGCAAAGAATCTGTCGTAAAAAAGAACGAACTTGGTATAAGTGGTTATATTCTCTACTAGTTCTTCATAAAAGTCTATTAGATCTTGAACTGTTTTGATATGCATGAGTCGAGCATTCGTTCGCCAATGATTTATTTTTCCAGAAAGTGTCATTATAATCTATAAACACTAATATTTGCCTTTTAAGAAAGTCAATTGGATAAAAAAAAAGAAAAAGATAAGACAAGACAAAAGATAAAAGATAAAAGACAAAAGAAAAAAGATATGATCTGATAGATCATATCTTATAGATCATAAAAGATCTGATAGAAGCAAAAAGATAAAATGAAAGAGAATCATAAAATAACCAAAAAAGATAATTAAACAAACCTCCATAGAGAAGATGTGTTAGATACATGGAGATCTCAACGACGCAAAAAGCGCTGCGAATGCTCCAACAGAGAACCATAACCATCTGAACTTTCGGCTGATTGAAAGCTCCTCGGCAGGTATGCATCGTCAGCATAGGGAAGTGTAGAAACATAGCTGAACGAGCGAAATTGGTCAAGCATGCGATAGTTGTGCTATCGAAATTCTCAAAGATAATATCAAGGAAAAGATTGTTCAGGCAATGAGGAATACTTACCGACAACCGTGTGGTTGTTCAATTAAGAAATTGTAACAAACATAAAATAGACAAACATTGACAGTAAGTTTTCAAACCAGCAAAAGCTCAGATAAACTTAAAACTCGTTGTATCTTACAACAAACTAGAAAAACTCATCATGCCACCGATTTTTGAACATTTGTGACTGTTTTGGATGACAAGTATGCCTCAGTAGCAAAAGAGAAACATAGAAAATAAAGAAATAGTCAAAAACTCGGCAAATGACGAGATGAATGTCATGAACCTGCCGGCATCTCGACATGGTAGGGGCACGACGAGATGCCGGCAGGTTGCACTCCTCATTATGCACGCTATTTTCCTTTCTTTGCTGACATGAGGGCGAGATGCCGGCAGGTTGAGGACGAGATCGCGGCAGAAATCTCGACAAAATACCTCACGAAGTTGCCGGCAGGTGGCGCCATCTAAATCTACTCAACCGGCTGCGCGGGCGGTCGCGCTGAGCCATCACTGCGTGTCGGGACCTAGGGCTCGCTCACTTGCTGGCAGCATCGATTGGAGATTTTGAATATATGAAAAAGGTCCTCGCTTAAGTAGAGGTTCGCTGTGTTGACAGCTTCACTAGTAATGAGACGTATACCTTTTTCAGTCAAAGATCTCGAAGGACTGCTTGGCTGGAGGTGTCAGGAAGCTGGACGTCACTACTACCCGAAGTGCTAGTTGCTAGTCTCTTCTCTCATTCAATACCTTGTCTCAGATAGGATCAACACAGCAGGACATGATTGTCTTTGTCGAGTCTTTACTAGTTCATGAAAATGGGCGCTTTTTCTTAGTGGGGATCTGCCAGAAATTCGAACAATGAGCTCTATTGTGTCACAGTACCTCCTTTATATCGTCTACTCATTACCAAGAATACGGCGGGCAGAGCATATTGCCAACGCCTGATAACATATAGGTAATACACGTGGTGGTTCTTCATAACTAGACAGTACAAGTTGCTTTAGAATAAGGATTCAAATAGGGATTCAACAAGTTTTTAACGTGTTCATATGTCTGCAAATGCTCCGCCCGCTATATTCATGGGATTTGCCTAAACTCCATGAAAATGTTCATAATATTAGGTTGATTCATAATTAATGCACGTTTTGAATTTCAACCGCAATAAGTCACACGCTTTTCATTCTTATATAAGCTTCAAAGTACCATTGGATAGAGCAAAGCAAGCTCTACAAGATGGCACTTATGTCTTTGCGCCATGCTCGATCCACGGAGAGTTCGAACTCAAAATCTAAAGATTTCCAAATGAACAAAAAATCGAAAAAAATCAGATCTTCTTCCAAATAATTTCTACGGACCTCCCACTCGCTCACATCAATACTATCGATATCTGATATCCATATGTGCGATTGCCGTATTTTTTCCTTGACTAGAAATTGAGAAAACGAAAATTTTCCTGATTTTTTCAAAGCAATGCTGAGCTGTTTTTGCATATGTAGTTCTATACTACAAGCCTAGGTAAGCATAACTGTAAATTTTCAGCCTATTTCGAACGGTACTTTTCGAGAAATGCCGATTTTAGCACTGAAACTGGAACGAAAAAATCCGAATTCGTTATTTTTCGAAAATTACCGCTTGGAATGGGCTGAAAATCTACAGTTATACTTACCTAGGCTTGTGGTATAGAAATATATATGCAAAAACGGCTCAGCATTGCTTTGAGAAAATCAGGGAAATTTTCGTTATCTCAATTTCTAGTCAAGGGAAAAATACGGCAATCGCACATATGGATATCAGATATCGATAGTATTGATGTAAGCGAGTGGGAGGTCCGTAGAAATTATTTGGACGAAGATCTGATTTTTTTTCGATTTTTTGGGCATTTGGAAATCTTTAGATTTTGAGTTCGAACTCTCTGTGGATCGAGCATAGCGCAAAGACAAGAGTGCCATCCTATAGAGCTTGCTTTGCTCTATCCAATGGAACTTTGAAGCTTATATAAGAATGAAAAGTGTATGACTTATTGCGGTTGAAATTCAAACATGCATTAATTATGAATCAACCTAATATCTTGTAGTTTGCCAAGAAAATGTTCTCTTGCAAGTTGAAATTTCTCTTGCACGTTGAAAGAGAAAGAGGTTTTGGGCGATATCTATTATCTCATGCTTGCTATTGCAACTTGGGCATCCGTTGAGGCTACCATTAACTGTGGACTAGTATATTTGTGATAAAGTCGAGATTGTGCTAACTCTATTCGAATCATTCGCTGTTTAGTTCCCGAGAAAAGAAAGAAATGAATCTGAGCTTCATAACCTTAGACATGTCCCCTTCTTTCCCAACGCGCTTGTTGGAAAGAAAGTGAGCAGTTAGTTTTGATATTGGTACTACTTCTCACAATGACATAGGTATTCATTTTATTAGTCAGTGAAACGCTATATAGATACTCACGCTAAACACATATGAATGACAAGAGCATACTTGGAGTTGGAAAATGTATCAATAACAACATATAAGATTCAAATCCCAAACAAAGCTGAAAGAGAAAGGCTTTCTGTTAAGCATAATTACTGCCTGTGTCTTTTTCGAGAAACATCTACTTACAAACAAGTCCAAGTACTAACAATCGCGGCATCGAGTACCTATACAACTGTGTGAAGTTTTAATTATGTTGATTGTCCTTGGGAATTTATGAGCGTCAGAAAACGCGCTATATGAAAATGAAAAGTAAACTCTGCTGGAAAAGTCTTTAAACATTCTTCTCACTTAGTAGAAACAAGCAGCTCCAGCACAATGAAAGCTAGCGCCAAGCGAGCCCTAGGTCCCGACACGCGGTGAGGGCGCCACGCGACCGCCCGCGCAGCCGGTTAAGTAGATTTAGATGGCGTCCCGGCGGGTCAGTCTTTTGGGTCCAAAATTTGAAGTTGTCGGGATTTTTCGGATTTTTTCGATCTCCATCTGGTGCCCACCTCTAAGCTGGACCGTCAGACCTGGAGAGAGCCAGACCAATTGCTTTGGAGAACCTCTAGAGGGTGTCGGCAGTTTTCATGACCTGAGGGCGAGATCGCGGCGAGTTGAGGGCAAAACCTGCCGGCAAGTAGGGTAGATTACTACGGGCCCTTATGTAGATCATCCCGCATTTCGGTTGTGATAGTTTTCCGAGGCGCTGACCGATTTTTCCTGGGGCATACTTCCTTTGTCCAAATCGTCTCGATTTGACCGAATCTCAGCGATATCGCGTCGCTGTCTTTACCTAAGGCATACCTCGTGCGACTCCGGTCGCTGCGCGATTCGGCACACAGCGACTCTTCGTAATTCGTCGTTAATGCCCTCTCTTTGGTCAAAACTGGCTCCGTTTGCAACGACTCACACAAACTACCCAAATATGCGTTCGAGAAACGCGCACTATAAATTTGTAGAAATCTGGCAAATTGCCAAATAGCTTGAAAGTGGCGATTCGGCTGAATCGCGTGAGGTACGCCTTAGGCCTTAGGCCCCGGACAGACTTCATGCGATTTGATCGTCGCGACTGAATCGCGACGAGACAACTGTTACAACATCATTCCATGCCGATCAACGTGCATTTCGGTTGTGATACTTTTCCAGCCCAAAATTTTTGAACGTGAAATGAAAATGAATGGAAATGTCGGCGATCGAGTTGCGACGATCAAATCGCGTGAAGTCTGTCCGGGGCCTTAAACGAGGGACGCGATCATATCGCTGAGATTGGACTTCTCTTTGAAAAAATTTTTAAAAAACTTCTTGGATGTTAAGAAACTGTTTTTGGTTTGCTTTCGTATCTGTTTGCTAAGTTCTGATCAATTATCCGAACCATAAATCTCGCTGAAACTTGGCCCAAAGGGGGAGGGGAGTATTCGATATGCTGACCACGGATGTACTCCTGTATTTTGGGGGTGGGGGCTTTAAGTGGAGTTACGGTAGGTATTTGGTAGAAGGTGCGAGTCATGAACCTGCCTAAATTTTGGGTGCATAGGGGTTATTTGGTATGCTGATCACAAATATCGTGCTTGCTTGCTCGTTCAGCACGTCAAATAATCCTACTGAAATCTTGGAAAAAATCCGTGATTTTGGCTTCATGTAGTGTACCACCGTAACGTCATGCAATGGACGTACCATGCAAAAAGGCCATGGTATTGGTGATTGGCATGTTGGATAACTCCCATGGACTGTCAAACAAAATCTACGATTGGAATTCTGGGTACCTGATATTGAAATAGCGCCGAATCTGGTGGTCATGCGCTTGAAATCGGCTCTAGAATACAAAGCGAACCATCTGCAGATGGGGAAAATCGGGCTGAATGCAATTTCAAATTTTTGGATAGTTTGAAAGCATGCACAGCGTGCTTTGAGAATGCACGAATCGCTGAAGGAGTATGTCCATGAACAAGCAACTAACGATTCAGTCGCCGCGTTTTCGTTGCTACTTCCAGCAAATCGCGACGATCAAACCGCGTGATGTATGCACGGCCCTTATCACAACCGCAAAGCAAGATGGTTGCCATGCAATGATATTTTGTGAAGGGCGGGCATACTCTACGCGATTTCATCGTCGCGATTTCTAGTAGCCGTGATTTATTACAAGTCGCGAGTTTTCAAATGTTATGCCCATCAGATCGGCTTGTAGTTTAGCATAGTTTGCGTGCATGCTGGCTGGGATCCATGACCAAAATTCTAGCGCAAGAACCTGGTTGCTACCGTCTTACAAATTTCATGACAGACAGCTATCCAGACAGACAAAGAGAGTAAACAATCGTTAGCCCGTTTGTATTGAGTCATGATCATGATTTTGTACAACCGACTCAACAGATATCATCATAAGATGATCATGGTCACTACTATGAAACCACGATGAACTTTAGAATGTGAAGGTAATATCCCACGTGTAATGGAGCTTTAGTAGGAAA